TGCGCCTTGCTGTTTTTGTGTTATATGCAGTGCATTGTAAAAACCCAACAGTCAACTTTATCAAATGAAATGAGTATAGTTTAGTCTCGACAAACAAGAAAAAAGAAAGGTATTGGAGAGGGCAATGCCTGAGCTGTGTGATTAACCCATTTTGTCTGGGTCCACTTACTCCCTGGAGTCCTCTGTGGTTCTCCTGGATTCTAGTTCTGGGTTCACTCTGGTCGGGGTTCTAGTCTGGGCAGTGGCGTTAGGTCACAAGCTTTTATAAGGATGGTTTTGTACCCACCCTCCAGTGCCGAATTGAGCAATATGAAGTTAACTCCCCTGAGGCATGTTTTATAGTCTTTGTTTCAAAGCGTAATGATTTGCAGAGGCATTCTGGGCGTAAACTGATGCGGAAATGTTCAAAGCTTCTTAAAATGTTAATATGTTGCATACGTATTTACATAAACAATCGTTCAGTACACCAAATTAGCTTTGCAATGACATCAAACATGAACCATCTATGATCTTGTTCAGCTGTGGTAGAGTTAAACATTGATTGCAGAAGCATTAAAACCATAATATTAATACGTGTGTTACAATCTTTTTAGGTCTAGGGATTGACCGCAACAGAAAATAAATGATTGGTGGTGGATGATGTGCAATGGCTGGAACGTAACAGAGAGAGAGAACTAGTCTTCTCAAACAGAATGGCTAAAAACTTAAACAAAATCAAAATCAAGAAAAAGAAGTTTTACATATAACAAAAAAAAAAAAAAGAAAAAAACAGGGTAACAATTCAGAAGGGGCCAAGGCCAAAAAAAAAATAAATAAATAAAAAGACAAAAACAAGCTCCTAATGTAATCTCTTGCTAATCTGAAATAAAAGAAACAAAAATAGATAAACTAACTCCCTTTACTAACAAACAGGAGAAACCTGATTTCAAAAAAAATAAATAAATAAATACCTAGCTTCCAACTTAACCCTCAAAATAAACAAATCAACCAGACTAACTTCTCTTTGGGTGAATTATTAGATGTTAACAAGAAGATCATTGAAAGTAGAAGTTTGACTCCAATAGCTTCACCACACAGGAGCTATTTAAGTCAAATCAAATCTTTAAAGCTCTAATAAACAACAGGTCTGTATGTTGAGAAGAGCTCAGCCACTGCACATTCTTGCCACCATCCACACTGTTTTTTTCTTTTTCTTCGTTGATTTTTATTGGCGGTTGGCAAACAACTTTATGATGCATTTCCGCCATTTACTGGTTAGGAGTGTGGATCAGAATTGAATATATATATATATATATATATATATATATATATATATATATATTTATTTTTTTTTTTTTCCTTTTATACTTATTAATTTATATTCTATTATACAACCCAGTTTCTCTAAGAAACATTAATAAAGCTTTCAATTTACTATCTCCTACTCTACTACTTAACATACTATTAATATCTATATTTACCTTATTTTCCTCAATGTCTATCATATTCCTTTTCAACACTGGTTTGAAGTGCAGCTCAGGTTAAATACTCTCTCTTCTCTCCCAACAGCCAATCACTAGAAAGATCCAATGATCGCTACCAGGTGGACACAGTTACCTGCAGGGAGAAAGAGACACACAGAGAGAGAGAGAGAAAGAGAGAGAGAGAGAGAAAACACAAAGCACATTGTGCACACCAAAAGATACGTCTCAGGACGTAACAATGAGCTACAGGCTTGTTGCAAAACACCTGATCTTACATAAAGAGAATAAAAGTTTACAATAAAAGCATCAGTCTTAAGCAATGATATAAGTCCAGTTCTGAGCCTTCCTTTGTGTCGTAAATACCTTGGAATTGGATTACAACTGACCATCCAGTCTTTTACTGGGTAGGAGAAGTTGATAGTGTATTATTTGTTGAACAAAAGCTGAATAATTATGTGTCTGATCGGCCATATTCATTACAGCATCTGTATAATTCTTCAGTCAGGAGGGTATGAATAATAATCCATCGATTTTGTTTTCATACTTGTCGACTCTTGGCATTTCAGCAAGGTGTTGTTGGCAGCACTCAAAATGCAGATCTTTTGATCATCAACACAGTAAATTTAATCCGTCTGTTTCCCAACCGGATCTTTGTTCAAAGAGAAAAAAAAAACCACTCACTCCCACATACTCATAATGCAAGATTTTCTCTTTGAAGATGACTTCTGAAGGATGATGATGGTGCGTTGAGGTGATTCTGCTCTTCAGATGTGCCCTCCCTTACAGTCGAGATAAACATTCCACTCTATCAGAATCAAGGCGCCCTTCAGCTAAAAAGAAAACACGTCAACACAGAGATAGAAAGAATCTTTATAGACCAGACACCTGAAGAGATGAGATAATCAACTTTATGTGGAAGTTGCCTTTCATAACTGTGTTTGAAAAGGTCTAAAGTGTGTCTCACTATCTGTTTGTGTGTTTTGTCTGTGGGTTATTTACTGTATATCTCATAGCTGTGTCTGTGGTAGAGTCTACATCAGTGTTACTGACAAAGTTAATAGCTGATATAAAAAAGTTATAAATGACTATTAGTGATTACAAGCTGGTGACTGCACATTTTTCAACTATATATTAAGTGGAAAACAATTGAGGATATTCAGTGTTCATAATACTTCAGTATTTTAACAGTAGGGAAACGAATCACTCCATAACTCCCAGACACACTACTAGTTCTTATATTTTACTTTATATTATTTTATTTTTAATTTAATTTAATTTAATAGTTTTTATCCAATGTTTTATTTTATGTTTTTTTGTTTAATTGTATTTTATTTCATTTAATTTATTTTAATTTAATTACAATTTTTTTAGCTTACTTTAATTAATTTTAGTTTATTTTGATGTATTTTAGAACATTTTAATTAATTTATTAATTTATACATTTATTCAGGTTTGTGACAGTGTGTGCAATGAAAAATAACATGCAGGTTTTATAAAAACAAAACATAAAAAGTGAAACCAGATAATTTTAATTTTATAAAGGACTTTTTTTGTATTATTATTCATTTAATTTTATGTGTGACTTGTGAGAAAAAAAAAGCAAAAAAGTGTTCAACAAAATGTATCATTTAGATATACCAGATGAAGTCAAACCAGATAATGGGAAAGGTTTGTGTTGTTAATAGTGTGCTGTATCTTCTGTGTGCGTGTGCCGTTTGATATCATTCCTTACTCTGTATAAGATCACAAAGACTCTTTGAGCTTGAACCCAAACCAGCTGCATGACCTAAATTGAAGGATCACTTCTGTAAAAAAAAAAAACCTTAATCAAATAACGAACCACCTGTCTACAGTAAAGTTGTTTAATCATGACTTTCTCCTCTCGTTTTTGAATGTGTGTGTGTGTTCAGACATAATTCTTTCACAGTTTCTCTATATTCTTCTCTTGGATTTGTAATTCAGCGCTCTATTGGCATGACTTTTCCCATGTTCCAAAACATTTGCAAACACTTTTGGCTGTGTTTGGAATGGAGTTGTAATGTATTACTTACTACTTGCTGCACAGTTGATTGTGGATATTGTGGCAAGTGGTGCCAAGCTTTCATGTTTGAAAAGAAAATGCATGTTGCATTAAAAATTAAATTTTATTAACAACATAAAGTTGATATTTCTTCTAATTTGTTAAAGTAAAAACAAAAGGTCAAATTGAATGCATTGCATATTGAGTCATTTTCACTGTGTATTGTTGTATTGCTCATCATGGCCTATGCTGTAAACATATAACCCAGTTTATTGAGGATGTCTTGCAAGTACAAATTTAAGCACAGTTGTGTGGCAGTGGTGTGTGAACATAGCCAACATTTAATCATTTTAAAAAATCTATTCTAAAATAAATCTAGACCAAATTTGGCCTCAATCTCAATGTCGCAGCACCAGCTGTAATTATCAGACTTTCTAAATTCCTATTGTCTGATTTTGGTGCTCAAATTGTTACTTCCACTTCTTGTGTGGCTGTCTGCTTCAAAGATCTGATGAGTTCATTATTATTATTATTATTTTTCAGCTTAGTCCCTTTATTAGTCTGGGGTCACCACAGCGGAATAAACCGCCAACTTATCCAGCATATGTTTTACACAGTGAATGCCCTTACAGCTGCAACCCATCACTGGAAAACATCCATACACTCTCATTCACACTCATACACTACGGACAATTTACTTTACCCAATATACCTATAGCGCATGTCTTTGGACTTGTGGGGGAAACCAGAGCACCCGGAGGAAACCCACACGAACACAGGGAGAACATGCAAACTCCACACAGAAACGCCAACGCCAAGGCTTGAACCAGTGACCTTCTTGCTGTGAGGAAAACGTGCTATCCACTGCCTCTGGCATTTGCGGGCCATTTACCTAAATGCATTAAGATGCTGCCATGTGATTGGCTGATTAGATTTTGCATTTTAATTTGAAAATTAATGATTGAGGGTGACTTGGTCATGCAGTGGGTAGCACTGTCGCCTCACAGCAAAAAGGTTGCTGGTTTGAGCCTTGGCTGGGTTAGTTGGCATTTCAGTGTGGAGTTTGTATGTTCTCTCTGTGTTGGTGTGGGTTTCCCCCACAGTCCAAAGACATGCACTATAGGTGAATTGAATAAACTAAATTGGCTGTAGTGTATGTGTGGGTGTGAATGCAAGAGTGTATGGGTGTTTCCCAGAGCTGGGTTGAAGCTGGAAGGGCATTCGCTGCATAAAACATATGCTGGATAATTTGGTGGTTTATTCCACTGTGACGACCCCTGATTAATAAATGGACTAAGCCGAAAAGAAAATCAATGTATGAATGGATCTACCCAATGAGGAGCGAGACAGCCATACAGCAGATGATGTCATTTTAGTATTTTGTGTACACAGTACACATACTCCATGCTCCTTTCTTTCAGAAGTAGTAGGTGGTACGCCATTCCAAACATACTACTTTCTCTGTTTATTGCTCTGTAGGTAGTTTACAAATCTCTCATTCTCTGTTTCTCTCTCTTCCAGCGGTTCCTCCTCCAACTCCTCCCGCTGAGGATGTAGACCGTCAGCGGCGCAGGTTTAATATGCGCATGCTAGTCCCGGGACGCCCTGTTAAAGAGACTCCAGCCACACCTCCGCCCATTCCTGTAGAGCGGCCCACCTATAAGGAGAAGTTCATCCCACCCGAACTCAGCATGTGGGATTACTTTGTGGCCAAAGTGAGATCGCAACTTCTGCTTGTTTACATAGGATGAAGCGTTTTTTTTTTTTGTTTGTTTGTTTATTTTTTTCCCCTTTTAATGACATTTTGAAGGTATTAAATTTCAAGAAATACCTACTAAAGTGTTTCATTGATTCTTCTGTGTGTGTTTGTGTGTTTCCCCCAGCCTTTCCTTCCTCTTTCTGACAGCGGGGCGCTGTATGATTCGGATGAGAGCGGTGCTAGTGACAACGAGGATGATGATGATGCCTTCCTCTCTGACACCCAGATGACCGAACACTCCGACCCAAATTCCTACAGGTCAGATTAGGGGGTGTCTTATCATATGAAGTCATATTAAATGCATATTAAACTTTGTCATGCGTGCGGTTTGGGAGAAGAATGTAAAATAAAGTTGCTCAGACTTGAGGTCACGAAATGGTGGTTTGGGGTCTGTAAAGAAGCCTCCCTAAAAGTAAGAGTACGCCAGAATAAGTTTTGATTTATTTAATAATGATTATGGCTTAATATGATGATTTAAAGAGGGTTAATTAAGTCAATATTAACTTAGACATCACTTACATCTCATGTTAAGATGTGTGAGAAGTGGCGTTTGCAAGTTTCTGCTTTTGTTTTGTGCATTTGGCATGCTTATAAATGAGACCCCAGATGTACGGTTCACGGATTCTCCAAGTCACAAAAGTAGCTATTAATTACGTATGAGTTAATCAAACAATGTATTTATGCATTTAATCGCTCACTTTTCTGACACACAAGTGACACACTGCAAGCAGAGAGAATATTTATCTAATTTTTTGCACAACTTCAGAAGAAAACAACTCTCTTCTTTTTCATTTAAACTTTTATATTGCGTTCATGATAAACACACACATTTGTTAGCACACTGAATACAAACTACATTTTTAAATTCCAAAGTTCAAACCTGTGAGGCAGGCAATCAAGCTAAAAGTGAAAGCATTAGCTGATCGCACTCTCACACAAATATATATATGCAAATCACATATTTAAAATACAAGTTCATGTCTATCATATATCCATCAAAAGCCTCTGTTAATTGATTAAATGTAAGTGTTTAAATTAGGGCTGGGCGATAATTCGATAGCGATAATTATCACGATATAAAATTTTACAATAAAACTATAATGACTTTTAGTTTAATAATTGCTAGATAATAATTCCGCACTATGGGTAACATTGCGCAAGCATTTTTGCAGCCTGCATTTCCGGATGCCGCACGCCATACAAGTTTACAGCCAAACAGTGTTAGTTGTACTCAAAAAAGTACGAAAAAAAAGGGTAAAAAAGGTCAGAGTCAAAGACATTGTTGACAAGAAACGTCACTAGACCTCAGTCTTGAGCTACTGTGTACTGTAGCAACGTGCACTGCAAACTGCGCAGACGACTCGTGTCATCAACACCACAAGCCTCTTTCATCATTTAAAACACAAGTGTCAAACTCAGTTCCAAAAGGGCCGCAGCTCTGCTCAGTTTAGTTCCAACCCTAATTAAACACACCTGATCAAACTAATTGAGTCCTTCAGGCTTGATTGAAACCTACAGGTAAGTGTGTTGGAGCAGGGTTGGAACTAAACTGTGCAGGGCTTCGGCCCCAGTGGCGTAGCGGACGGGCCCGCAGGGCACGCACCGCGGGGGGGCCCCGCGTGATTAGGGGGCCCCGCGTCGTCGTGATTTTCAATAAACTGTTGGGAACAACTGTGGTCGGAACCAAAGTTCACACGTCTGTGTTCTCTGAACACCTCTCAAGCGGTGGACTACTTCATTCTGATTGCTTGCAGCCAATGTTGCCAACTTAGCGACTTTGTCACTATATTTAGCGACTTTTCAGACCCCCCTAGCGACAAATCTAGCGACTTTTTTGTGTGTTATTGGAGATTTTTTAGACTGTCATTTGTCCATACTGTACCGTCCCTACTCTTCTCAATGAGCTGCGTGTGATGCCGCCGGCCCCTCCCCCGCCTCACAGCACTGACAGGCGGCCCAGTCAGTCCTCGTACAGCAGCCTCTCCCACCTGCAGCCCGAGAGCAGATCACCCCTCTGCGTACCGACGACAAATAATTTAGCACAGGCAGTGTGAAGGTATTTCGCTTGTACAGTCAAACCGATCTATTTCTACTTTATTTTAACAATTTAATTGGACCGTTTATTCTTTTCTTGTTCACAATCACAGATATTTTAGTGACAGTTTCTGAACTTGTCTGAGTTTATTTCATATGAGAGATTACTGCACATTCACTAACGTTACACATCTATAATGATATACTGTATTCAAACAGCAATAAATTTAGTTAAATAAACATGCTTATATAAAGTGTAGTGCAATTATAAATACCCCTTTATTAACCATAGGCTGTTAAACAGAAACGGTAGAACGTGATGACGTCAGTGATATGCAAATTGACGTATGACCCCCCCCCCCCCCCTTCATCAGGGGCCCCCGTCAGCGATCCCTGCAGGGGGGCCTCCGCATTTTGCGCTACGCCACTGTTCGGCCCTCCAGGAATTGAGTTTGACACCCCTGATTTAAAACAACACCACCCTTATAATAATGCTAAGACATGACAGACCTAAACAAGTGCTGGTAAACCAGGGCAACTACCCAGCAGAGTCTCATGTCATCATTTTTGAAAAGAAATTTTTGAAAACGAAAAGACTGACAAAAAATGTGACAGACATTACAATCTCAAACACATCTCAATCTCATCTCAATGAACACTTGATGCTTGCTCTACAAGCTGCATTCAGGATATTTACACTACAACATTTACACTAATAAAAAATAATATAATAAAGTAGCAAATTCAAACAAAACAAAAATTTGTTAAACTCGAGTAAGGGGACGATAGTGAAGCCAAATAAAAGAAAGAAATATAACAAAACATTTCTAATTTATGAGTAACCACTCTTACCTCGCTAAAAACTGATGAAAAGAAAAAAAGGTCCCTCAGGAAAGTGCGCTGCATTCTTCCCTATAGAATAAATATAAAGATGATGTTCATCATCTTACCTGATGTCTTTAACAATACATTATCTACGTGTTTGCAAAATGGAAGTCGTACGAGATCTTCCCTATTCACTTTACTCTGAGAAAAGAATTTGAGGAGATAGGGTAGCTCAATATTGTCGAGAAAGAGCCAAGCCAAAAAACAACATTCAAATCAAATAATTAAATATAAACAAAACTCACAAAATTTCTCAAAGTGGGCAAAAGTAATGCAAAATAATTTTACCCAAACGAAAGTTTAGCAAAAACAATGAAAATCATAATCATGTCAGCAAAATACACAAAAAACGAGATCAAAGAAAAAGGCGCCATCTCCGCCTCGCCTCCGATACGCGGTCAGCTGCAGACTGCAGTGAATGAGCGCTCGCTTGCACCGCGTGTCGTAGGAATAATTCTCCTCGCAAGGCGCTGCACTCGTGGAAATAAGCGATCTTGTTTCTCCCAGGACGATGGCAGATTTTCCTCTGAATTCTCTAACTGAAGCTTTGAACAGTAGGCTACTCTTGCACTTCCTCCATTATTGGGCTTCTCATATCTTCCCATTCTGCAAAGCCCACTCTCTGCTTTTGCGCTAATTCACTGCCATGTCCAGCTATACAACTGCAACCGACTTGCAATTAGCTAATTATAATGTATTTTTTTATTACCCGACCCTTGGTTTATTCGCAGCGCCCACAGATATAACCGCCTTATACGCATCACTAACAGGAGGCAAAAATACAACCTTTACGGCTACAACCATAACATTAATTTCAGACAAAAGTGCAATGTGTTTTACTGGTGAATATGTCATGTAAAAACACTGTACAGACACAGTATATGTATATTTTTTCATTAATTTAAATGGAAACCCATCTATCTAAATGAAAACTTAATCAAAAATGAGCATCACTATGTCTGTGTCTGCACAGAGATCAAGCTTCTCACCTGAGAATGTGGCCATTATGCTGTTTTTGAAGAAGAACTTAAAACTTAATTCTTTAAAACTTTATTCCAAATGCCCTTAGAGAGGACAAGCCTTTTTATCTTTCACTAGTCTACACTGCAGTTATTTATTTAATTTTAGTTTACTTAGTTAATATGGCTGCACTAAAGATAATAGTTTTTTTCTAATTATAGTCTATTTTGGAGGTATTTATTTAATTGTTGTTGTTTACTTAGGTGTCCTGATTGTACTAAAATGTGAAAACTGAAAATTCTGTGACCATTAACTCACCTTTACTTGTTCCAAACTGGATTTATTTATTTTTTTTCTGATGTTGAACAATAATATCCAACAACTTGTAATGTCTTTGGTTGTTGAAAACTTGAACAGTAAATGCTGAATTAAGATTGCTCTTTTGTTTATTATTTTATTATTATTTATATTGTCAAACAGCTAAAACATTTCACTAAGTTAGTTAAATCAGCTGAACAAAGCGATTGGCATACTGTAAATCTTGTAAGATTGATAGATATAAGGTTTTTATGTTTATCGTGATAAATATCGACATCGACTGATATTAAAAAAAATATTGTGATAATTTCTTTTGCCATATTGCCCATCTCTAGTTTAAATTTAACATATATATAAAAATAGATGTCATATATGTACGTTTATGCAACAAACATTTTAAAATTGCGAAAAATGGGTGTTTGTATATGAATATGAACAGTGTGAGGACCAAACAACATCTCCAGGTACTCCTTTAAGAACCAAAAACAATTATATGACCTGTTTTTTAGGTGCTTTCAGGATTTGACTGTTTGGTTATAAATTTTAAAGGCTATTTCATATTGATTGCATATACAAATTGTTTCTTGAATGTTGTCAGAGAGTTTATTAAACGCATTTTTATAATTATTTATTTTTCACTGATTGAGTGATGTTTCTGTGTGTCTGTGGGCTTTTTAGTTGGTCTCTGATCCGCCTGGTGATGATCAAACATGGCCTGCACAATGTCAAGACATTCCTGCCCCTGGCTGGACTGGACTTCACAGGTGCATTTAACACTAGCATCACCTCTATTAATATATGCAAGGCATGGTCAATTAAGCAGCGAGTTTCAATTTCCTCCATCTTTCCTGTCTTAGAACTACCAGTGACATCTCCACTCTGCAATGCTGTGCTGAAGACTTTGGAAAACTGGGAGCAGCTTCTCTTGGAAAAGATCAACAAGTTTGATGGCCCGCCACCAAACTACATCAACACCTACCCCACTGACCTTAGTGCAGGTGGGGGACCGGCTATACTCCGACACAAAGCCATGCTGGAGCCAGAGAACACACCGTTTAAGTGAGTACTTGCTCTGAATTGCAGTTAAACCATTTAATCATTAAAGAATTATATAAATGAAGAGTTTAGATGCAAAAACCTCTAAATGCTGTCTGAGGGGGCTTTCACATCTGTAGTTCGCTTAATTTGATCCGCACCAAGGGTAATAAATGATACATTGTTGCATCTTCTGCCGTCTTTGGCTCGTTTTCACACCACACCACACACGAACCAGTTGAAACTAACCAAAATGCACTCATCTGACAAAATCCACATCTCTCATTGGCCAGATGTTGTTGAACATATTTCCTAAACTGCTTATTGATTGGTCAGAATTCACGTGCGGGAAAATGCCAATGAACTCCCGCAAGTAAACAAACCGGCAGACACAAAATGTCACTTTTTATTATGGAGGGACGACTGCGCTGACTGATTTTATGCCTGCTTTGCACAGCGCATCGGCCTACGGCAGCTGAATTGGTCCAAAAGGCGCAGTACTTTTTGCGATTGGACCTGTTTTAGTACGAATCATATTCTCACCACAAACGAACCGCTCAAGGGTTCGTTTGAAAGCTTACCGCGACCACCTCTTCAAGCAGGTCTAGGTACGCTAATTTGGTCCGCTTTTGGTGCGCACTCGAGTACGATTGCTGCATTCTCACCTGCCCAAACGAACCGTACCTAAAGGGGAAACGAACTCTAGTGCGATTCAATCGAACTAAATAAGGAAGGTGTGAAAGCACCCTTAAATTTACCTCTAAATTTAGCATTTTTTTCTGGCTCCTGTGTGTATGTTCAGTAATATCACTGTTATGGCAAAAAAATTGTCCTTTTGCTGGTCTTTAAAGTAAAATATCTCAGCTTAAACAAAGGAGGCTGAGAAAAATGGTCATTTTTGACAGAAATTTCAGACGACACTAAGACGTTTTTGCATCTAAACTCTTTAAGTTATGCCTGTCACAATAATCAATATAATTAGGGGTGGGCTAATAGTTCACGAGGGCTAATAATTCTGACTACAACTGTATATTCACAAATAAACAGACATTTTAGAAGGACATTTATATACTACCTCACTTGTGTCAACATTTACAATAGGACATTCACTTATTTAACATCGAATTACAGAATCTAAATAACCTTAAGAATGATTTTTTCCTCTTGAAAATTTTTAGCTTTTCACATAATTATGCTGTTGTTCATTCATTCATTGATTCATTCATTTTTTTGTCGGCTTAGTCCCTTTATTAATCCGGGGTCGCCACAGCGGAATGAACCGCCAACTTATCCAGCAAGTTTTTACGCCGCGGATGCCCTTCCAGCTGCAACCCATCTCTGGGAAACATCCACACACACACATCCACACACTCATACACTACGGACAATTTAGCATACCCAATTCACCTGTACCGCATGTCTTTGGCCTGTGGGGGAAACTGGAGCACCCGGTGGAAACCCACGCGAACGCAGGGAGAACATGCAAACTCCACACAGAAACGCCAATTGAGCCAAAGATCGAACCAGCGACCTTCTTGCTGTGAGGCGACAGCACTACCTACTGCACCACTGTTTCGCCCATTATGCTGCTGTTTCATTATATAATCAGTGGCATAAAAGGATCTCAAAATGACAATAATACTGTTTTTCAAATTAATTCCTGTGACAAAATATCCCACAGAACAAAAATTCAGACCTAATATAAATATGTGTGCGACTATGATTTGTTTTGTTTTTCTCTCAGGTCAAAGCACCATCTGTCTTTCCCTGCTCGCCGTCTGTGGCATTTCTTGGTCAAACAGGAAGTGCTTCAGGAGACTATGATTCGGTACATCTTCACTAAGAAAAGGAAGCAGAGTGAGGTAAATACAGAAGCAGACACTGACAGAATAAATGGGTCAGGTCTAATGGCGGACTGAGATTTAAAGGGGCAGCGCATGTTACAAAATGAGATATATTAGATTGTAAAACAAGACCAGGTGATGAATGAAGTAGGCTAAGATTGATAAAAAGCAAGAAGTGAACAAAGTGTAATGGTTCAGAGTAACACTGTGTCCTAACTAAATGTAATAAGACAAAATACTAAACAATGTGGCTTTCTGCACCAGATGTGACATGACAGAAAAATGTAAGTACCAGAGCCATTCAGACTCACAGCATAATAAAAAAATAAAATGGTAAGGTTTGTAATCAAATTAATTCATATAAAACCTCTCTAATATTAATAAAAGTACAGGCTGAGTGGCTGATGTTGTTTGGATTTAATTAAGTCACAGTTCTAACATTGATTTTTTTTAACGTTATGTTTGCTAGTTATTTTATTTTTTAGATCTGAGGTAAACTATCTGCTGTAGCTTTTACAATGCTGTAAAAGATGCCTTTTTGTGTGTCGCAGTGTCACGTCATGTATAGTTAGGACATGGTGTCAAGCTCAGCTCACACTATCTGATTTCAGCCATTATTTGGTTGTCTGAGAAAAAAAAAAAAATCCTAAATTATTTCTATTTAATTAAAACATGTTTACTGAGAGCAGATTAATAGCCGTTGAGATCAAATTTACCCAGTGTCAGAGGTTTTTAAGCACTTTTCTTTTCTTACGATGGGTGTCTAGTGAACTAATAAGAGTGTTGAATCTCATGACGCAATCATTGCAACTGCTTTAAACCACCTGGGGTATATGACAAAACAGGTCTTTTTTAGGTACAGAATAAGAGGAGCCAGAGTGAGGTAATTAAAGAGAGGAGGGAGACGATACAAAAGTAAGACAAGTAGTGGAGCTAGTGTAGTTTAATTAAGGAGGTGGAACCAAAGTTATGTGATGGACACATAAGCAAAATTTTATGGACAGAAAAAGGTCCATTGTCCATATTATACATAGAGCCATTACGGTTCGGTTTGCATTGCTGAATAACAGGAGGGTCAAAATACAATTAGCAATAAATACAATTAAATAAAAATTGGATGAAACAACAACAATATATTAATTTAACAATACAACATTCCAAAGTTATTTAGCAAAGTTTAAACAGTACTGTAATTTTATTTTACATAAAATTGCAAAGATTTATTTTTTACTTAATACAGTTTCATTTGTGCATCTTCAAATGAATAGAAATTAATAAAGTCATTTATTTTCTTTTGTTTCTGTTTAGAATATAACTGAGCCTATAATTGGCATTTTAAGGTATTTATAAAGCATAAATAGTCCTCACTTTAAATTAGGTCACAAATCTGGATGAAGTTGACTTAATAAAGCATGTATTAATATACAAATTAACTTTTAGTATATGTCTGAATAATAAAATCTAAATATAAATGTTAATTTGAATAGTTTACTAATCATTTAATTCCGTTTTCTGAATGATCTTAAAATAGCACCAACTATTCTTAAATAACTAGTTTGTAAATAATGCAATACCTAATTAAGTAATGAAAAAATAATCATTACCAAAGGATGAAAATACAATTATAGATTTACTTATAAATCAAGAATACAGCATTTGTAGCTGTATTTATAAACTGTTACTAACGTCTATTAATGTAGAGTTAGTTGAATCATAGTGTGTAGTTATTATAAGGTGTTACCAAAAGGTCTATTTTAAAGATTTATAAGCCCACCATAGTCAACCAACAATACACAACAATACAAACTGATATAAATCAAACAAAGGTATTGACTTAATTTGGTCCACTACTTGCTGTGACTTTGATTCAGTACATGGAAATGTCTGTACAGTGTCATGAGTCACAGAATCAGCACATTAAACATGATTCATTTACAGTTAAGTTGACATATTGTGTAATAATCAGAGAGTTTACAACAATTCTGATCATCAGTTATTGCTGAAATTATCTTTCCTATACTGTTGCCTTCTTTTATTAAAAAGCTGGCAGTCCCAACAAACAATAATTAAAACAACAGGCTTTGTTGTTGTTGTTTTAGTAAAATTCCAAAGCCCAAAATAGTAACAAATCAAACTAATATTAAAGAGAAACAGCTGTATAATAAATGAATATTGAAAGTAGCCATTGTAAATGTTAAGGGTAAGTACACAGATGCTGAGGGCAATATGCATGTAAACTCAAGACCATCTCTCTTATTCTGAGCTCAGATGAGATTCATTTTGCTCCTTGTTTCATTTGTATTTTTTTTCCTCCATCTGTTTGTCACTCGTGCATGTGTTTTGTGACGTTGGTGTTTGTTAATGTGTGTGCGTGTGTTGTGGTGTGTATTATGTAGTCTATAGATGATCATGTGGACCACCTCATACAAAACTACGTTACTGGAGCTCGCAAAGCCAGCAAGGTACTGAGACACAAAACGGGACTCGTCTTCTCTGTGAAACCCTCTCAAAGCTTTGGGCCTCTGTCCTCTGTTAACCTGCTGTGACCTCTCACACTCAGATACACACACATATGTCCTTCTCTTTCCTCACATCCCCTAACTCGTCTGGCTCGGCACTGCTCTTCCTCACTAACCGCCGATGGCGCTGAAAGCGGTTAGCCAATCAGATGGAACCGCTTCAGACACCTTGTTTAGAAGGTCAAGCAAATAACAGCGATTAAATCTTGTTTTGTCCTCTGAGGAGGTGTGTACATGGTCTCGACTGCATGTCAGCAATCTTCCTGCTACTGCTGCTGTTGGTGTGTGTGTGGATGTGATTGTGAGATGATGTCAAAAACAACAGTACTGACATGAGTGTGTCTTTGTGCATGTTGTTTTACAGGTGGAGGCTGATATGGGTTACCCCGGAGGAAAAGCCAAAGTCATCCACAAGGAATCAGACATCATCATGGCATTTGCCATTAACAAGGTTAGACCATTTCTAACTTTTAAAGGGCCCTTAAAAGATTTTTTTTTAGATGTTAGATTTAAGGATACCTTTAGGTTAGTGTGCTCCAAAACAGTGACAAAATTTGTGTTTAGAAATATACAAACTGATATTAACACCTTAAATTTGTCACTTCCGCCTAAATGGATCTTTTTTTTTCATGTCACCTTATATTTCAGTTTCTTATCAAATCTTGACTAATCAAATGCTCTCTAGTATCTGACATGCTCCACCCCCTTTAATATGCTTATTATTTACTTTTTTTTGATGCACTTGTTCTCAACAACTCTCACTGGCAAAGCCATTATAAGAACAACTTGTGATTGGTCGTTTTTGTTTTTTTTTTAAAGAGGAGGAGCTACTATGTTCTACCCTTTCTTTTTTTTTTCAGTTGAGATTAAAAAAATTGCACATTTCAAAGCACTTCAATGGACATTTAAAACTACAGAGTTGCTCTTCCAAAGCAAGCTTAAAATAATAAGGCGCATCCTAAATCGCATACATATGCAACATTCTAGAGCTGTGAGGCGAATGTGCTACCCACGGCGCCACCGTGCTGCCCCTTTTACCTGTTCTAAGTCTTTTTTTTCTTTAGTGAAATTCATTGTTTAATTTTTTTATTCGTACTTGCATTCTTCAATGACTGAAAACATTAATATTTGTACAAAATAACATAATTGATGATTTTCAGAACATTTTAACTGGCAAATTGTGGTAAATAATGGGTTGTCCATAAATGGGTTTCAGTTTTCTGCTGCGTTAACACCAGACGCGGAACGCGCGTCAAGCACAAGTGATTTACATGTTAAGTCAATGCAAACGCACGAATAGACATCCTGCGGCGCAAATGGTGCGACGTGAATTGCGCAAATGGCGCGATACGCACAAATTGAATGCGTTTTGCGCGTTCGAAATGCTTAACGCGTGAATCGTTTGAGTTCGAAAATCTGAACTTCAGCGGGTATTCGCGCCGCGTTTACCAGTTAGGAGTTTGCTCTTGTGGGGGCGTGATTGTGACGTTTCGCCTGTTGTCGGTGTCCCAGGGGAAATCCTCGAGCCGACACCGACAAAAAGTTCATCAAACTGGGCTCGGCTCAGTCAGAACCACCACTGAAAGCCTCCGTCATCCAGGTTCAGTTTCTGGAGGAGTTTATAAGCTGACAGAGCTGGATGCACCTCTGAAAATGTATCGATGCTAATTTTCAGCCTTCATAAAGCACATAAACACTGTTATTTTCTTCATAAAATCCATGTTAGCCATTTAGCAACAAAGCTAGAGTCACCGGGCAGACAGAGGCCCTGCCCATCACGCAAATCCGCGTCTGTTCTAAAGTAAATTTGATGCGCAAATGAAGCGGGGTTTGATGCGTGAATGAAGCAGGTAAACGCAAATGTTCACATGGTTATTTATGCGCGAATAGCACGATTTTCCTTTATCTTAGTCTCTATTTCAGAGGTCGCCACAGCGAAATGAACTATAAACTATTCCGGCATATGTTTTATGCAGCGGTTGCCCTTCTAACCAAATTACAGTATGGGGAAATACCCATACACACTCACATTCACACACACTCTCATACACTTTAGTTAATTTAGTTCACCTATACGCATGTCTTTAGACTGTGGGGGAGGAAACCCAAGCCAACACTGGGAGAACATCCAAACTCCACACAGAAATGCCAGCTGGCCCAGCCGGAACTCAAACCATCGACCTTCTTGCTGTGAGGTGACAGTGCTAACCACTGAGCCACCATGACGCCGGGTTTCAGTTTTAATCTCTTTTTCTTTTTCATGTTATTTTCAATTCAAGTTTTTATTTTCACAAAAAATTGTTTCAAAGCAGCTTTACAAAAGGCACACACTATTGCATTACAATCAAAATCAGTTAAGGCTATTAGTTACCATAACTTTATTAGTTACTAAGAATTTGAACTAATTAACTAGTAACTAAAAGTAAACAGTAAAACAGTAACCAGTTAAAGTTATTATATACATGTAAACATAATTAACCTGCAGTTATATACTATGTAGGTGATGTCTATGTGTACATGTTGAATGAAGTGTATTAAGTGCATGTGTTTTTGAGAATAGTCTGATTTGCTTATTTTATACTTTCAATTTTTTTTTACTCTTGTCTTGGATCGCATATAAAGTGGTCGTTTCTTTCAACTGGTGTTTGTGTTCTTTCTCTTAGGCTAACACTAATGAAATAGTGCTGGCGTCCACTCATGATGTTCAGGAAGTGGATGTGTCCACACTGGTCGCAGCTCAGCCATACACCTGGATCGGAGAGGACTTTGACAAGGAGTCCCGCAGGTTTGTCACCTGTCTGCGTGTGTTTAATTCATTCACCTCACAGATGTGAAGCGACTGCTATGAGCATCTTGTTTTATCTGTGTAGCTCTGATGATGTCGACTACCGCTCGTCTCACACCAACATCGCCCAGGCCAGCACTGGTCCCTTTGCCCCCCAACAGATGGCAGCGTCCTCCTCCATGCCCTGGCTGGGAACCGGGCAGACCAGCATGGGAGCCAGTGTGGTATGTACATCAGTTTGCATTACAGTGCGACATATGAGAAATTGGAAAACAGTCCTGGTTACTTTGGGTTTAAATGTACACAACTCCACAAAAAAAAAAAAAAAAAAAAAAAAAAAATATATATATATATATATATATATATATATATATATATATATATATATATATATATATATATATATATATATATATATTTCTTCTTTTTATAAAGATGTTATATAATGTTTAAATCTTTAATAGGTAAGTGAATAGATAAACAGATAAATCTTGTTTTGTTCTGATGTCATTTCTATTAGATTTAGAAGCAAATGTTGTCATTTAGAGTGTAAATACTATAGATGGCATGTTTTGCCAAGATAAAATTTTTCCATATTAGTATTCATTTATAAAGAACGTTATGCAAATGTTTTAAAGAAAGCATCATTTGGTGAAATATCAGATTTTTCAGTTGCAACTTTTTTTTTTTTTTTTTTTGTTGAATTATCCATTTCTGCAAGCAAATAATAATAAAAAAAAATTAAACACACTTAAAACTAAACTAATTTAACTTAAACACTTTCATACACTTAAACTAAATAAATTATTATATAATAATAAATTATATATATAATAATAGAATAGAATTATTAGCCCCCTTTGATTTAGTTTCTTTTTTAAATATTTCCCAAATTATGTTTAACAGAGCAAGGAAATTTTCACAGTATGTCTGATAATATTTTTTTCTTATGGAAAAAGTTGTATTTGTTTTATTTCAGCAAAAATAAAAGCATTTCTTAATTTTTAAACACCATTTTAAAGGTCAAAATTTTTAGCCCTTTTAAGTTTTTGTATTCTTTTATAGTCTACAGAACAAACCATTGTTGTACAATAACTTGCCCAATTACCCTAAACTGCCTAGTTAACCTAATTAATCTAGTTAAGCCTTTAAAAGTCACTTCAAGCTCTTGAAAAATATCTAGTAAATTATTATTTACTGTCATCATGGCGAAGATAAAATAAATCAGTTATTAGAAATGAGTAATTAAAACTACTATGTTTAGAAATGTGTTGAAAAAATCTCTCCGTTAAACAGAAATTGGGGAAAAAAATAAACGGGGGCTAATAATTCAAGGGGTCTAATAATTCTGACTTCAACTGTATATACAGTTGAATCTAATCTAATCTAATATACGTATTTTGAAAAAAATGTTATCAGATGTTTTTAGAATATTGCAAATAATAACATTTTACTCAAACCTGTTGTTGACATGACGTTTATGTTTAACTGTCACACATGACAAAAAGGAATTGAATTAGTATTTTCATAATTTAAAATGCAGTAAATGGTTAAATCTTTTTGTCTTCGATGTACCTCATTATTATTTTTTTGGCTGTCTCAAGCATAGTTCAATAAATTACAGCTCTTATAAATAAAAAAGAAAATGGAAAAATCGTAAAAATAAATACTTCAGGCCTTTTTTTTTTTACAAGTGGCTATTTTAAATATAAATGGAAAAAAAGTTAATCCATGTATTTCTGAAAACATATTTAGTGAAACATTTTGTCATTACATTTTGTCATTACATTTTGTGATGCATTTTGTCACTGAAAACCATGTTCTCGGATGTGACACTATATGCTAGTTTTTAAATTGCCAATTTCACTGAAAACACATCACATTTAAGATCATGTGACAGAAGCCCCCTATTAAGTTTTTATCTCAGATTACCATTTTGGAACCACTATAAAAAATTTAGTTTTGTTGTCCTTTGGTTTGGCAAACCTATTTATTCTTTAGCCATGAAAAATATATATATTTTTCAGAATTCCCTGTAAAAATAAATGGCACTATATAAAGATGAGTTTCTAACAATGACCGTCTCCATTTAACATCTAACAATGATCTCACACCATTTATACATTATTAAGACATGCTTTTCTTTATTTTTTTGAGGTCACCCCATAGGATGTTTTTACAGAACAGTTCAGCAAAAAGAACTGATAAAGTTGTTAGTTACTCCTTATATTTTCTGAAACATATGACTTCAAACTACATAAATATAAAAAATATATATTTAAAAAAATAGTATTTTATAAAACAAAACTGCCTATTTGTCAACTACCCACCTAACATATTCAGGGAAGCTGAGATTTATTCTTTTTTTTTTCCATATATAGACAGGCAGTCTACTATATAGACTGACATTTTCTTGCTTCCACTAAATCACAATTTTCAAATCATTCTGAGATTGCAAGGATTTGTTTATAAACCTTCAATATAACTGTCATTACATTAAAAACATAAGAACTCCCTAAACTTTATTCATGGTCCAACTGACTATAGTCTGTAAAATAAAAAGTAAAAAAAAAAAAAAAACTCCAGCATCTGTAAGTAGACAGACAATGAAGCACGTACGTGATGGTCCCATTCCCACAGATGAAGAGCAGCTACTGAGTGTTTTGTTTTGGCTGTTATCAGCAGAACACAAACAGTGAGTCTTGGTCTCAACACAGCTCTTGATGAGTCTGTATTGAGCTGATAAGAGCGTTTATGGAGGTAGTGGAGTAAACCGCAGACAGTCCGAGCGACCCAAGGTGCAGACCTGCGTCATCACCTCAACTCTGTTCTCATTCACAGCTGATAAACCGAACATAGTGAAGAAGCTTCTTGCAGACTACTTTGCCAAGCTAAATGCTACTGATTAACATGATTAACTCAACTCATGATTAAGAGACAAATATACAACAAAAGTTCTTATTTTATTCAATTGACTCTGATTGATGCACATGTGAAATGACTGAAATGTGAGCTTGTGCATCCCAAAGTTAAAGTTTGCTAAGCTCTCTGACCTGTGGGTTTGTACAATGTGAAGGCATGTTGACGAATTGTCAAATTGCACAATTTTTTATACACAAAGGTTTTGTGAAACAAATGCCTGAATTCAACACAGTGACCATAGCCCCTTACACACATACAGACCTTTCCGGAAAATTGGCAGTAATTTTCCGGAAAGGTCTGCATGTGTGAACAGGCCCTCTTTAAAAATACAGGTAAATTCGTTCTGGCTATTTTCCGGAAAGAGAAGTTGTAACATTACCGGTAATATGCCGGAATGCTGCGGTGTGTGAACATAGAAGGAAGATTGCCGGAAAGAGCACGAGCACGTCTAGAACGTGCTGTCGCGAGACGTCTACTTTAGCCAATCAGTACAGTCAGACGCATTCACGTCCGCGCGGTTTATGAAAATAAAAGCCTTTGAATATTTTTCCAGACACATTTAGCTGCTAGATGTTAATCAGATAAAGTTTAAATGTTCCTTATTAATGCCAACTTTGTAAATAATTATAGATAAGATGCTTATGATAAGCCGTTGTTTGTTTACCTTCAAGGTCATCTTCCTTCAGTTTCTTGTCGCGTGTCGCGAAAGTGTTCCTCCATATATTTTCATCGAAGTTGTTTACAATACTTATTCATCCACAGAGTTTGTAATGTAGTCAATTGTTTACAAATACAAGTGTAGCTGTTTAGAGGTAATTTCTGGTTGATGATGACAGAATTTACCGTTTTTTTGGAATGGATGTGTGAATAGTCTTTTCCGGAAACATTCCAAAAATGTCCTCACCTGTGTGAACAGCGCTTTTTTTTAATTTACCGGTAAAGTCGTTCCGGAAATTTTACGGATATGTACCAGTATCACTGTGTGAAAGGGGCTATTTGTCTCCTTAATTTTTTTTGCCTTTATCCCTTAGATGCGTACGATCACACTGGTGTCATTAGAATGTTCAGTAAATAAGATTTATTTTAGGTTTCAGACATTTAAATATGTGTAAGAACTAGCAAATCAATATTTATGGTTTGTAAAATACACACTGATGTCTAGGTAAATTAAATTGTACTCAGTATTATAGTGTTTTTTATTTACATGCAGATACACTGTTAAGGTAAATATAAAGTTTACTGGTAATACTTTAGTTTAGGCCAAAATTCATGCCATTAACTACTAGCTTATTACCTGCCTATTATTAAGATATGAACTGTTCATTAGTAGTTATAAAGTAAGATCTAATTCTGTGTCCCTAGTTGTACCCAAAACCCAATTTCTACCTTACTAACTATTAATAAACAGCGTATTAATAGTTTATTAAGCTAGTAGTGTTATGTAATGGTTTGTTAATACAATGAATTGTGACCTAAGCTAAAGTGTTACCAGTTTTTCTCTAAGTTAAACAGCCACTTGTATGTATTTTAGGTCAAATAGATGAATTAGCATGTTGTAAATCCAGCAGTTCTAATCGCTCCAGTGAAGTACAGACTGACTTGGCATCACCCACCAAAGATCAAATAATGGCATAACGATCATTTAAAAGCTGTTTAAATGACAAAGCATGTGTTCTCGCACATATTTAAGAGTCAGAATGTCAGCTATTTCTCAATATAATTAGGATTTTTAGCAATATTTGCAGAAAATGGAATAAAACAAATAAAAAATGCATAAATCAGGGGGACTGTGGTGTTTCACGTGATAAAACTGACATGTCGCCAAGGAGACTGTATGTGTTGTAAATAACGCCCCATTAAAAAAACTCATGCAGGGGTTGAGTGGAAGTATTTAAACCTTTGGTTAAAAATACATGAACAGAGTACTGTGCTGGGACAAATGTTTAGGGATCAGATGGTGTTGATATATGCCTATAGTTGTGTGGGCAACATTTGTATATTTACAGTATAACCACCTTAAAAAATGGGTGTCGCGTCTCGCGGGCTGTAAAGTTTGAAAAATGACTGCTTTAGATGATCGAAAAAAATATATAGCTTAAATGGAGCTAATAATTTTGACCTTAAAATGTTTTTTTTTCTTTTTTTTAATTAAAATTGCTTTTATTGAAGCCGAAATAAAACCAATAAGACTTTCTCCAGAAGAAAAAAAATATTATAAGACATTCTGTGAAAATTTCCTGACTCTGTTAAGCATCATTTGGGAAATATTTAAAAAAAAGAAAAAAAATTCAAAGGGGGGCGAATAATTCTGACTAAATGTTTGTCAAATCTGAAGAAACCGTTTGAATATCAGTGTTTTATGGGGGGTCGTGAAAATGATCTTTGTTAAACTGTGTCATTTCTCGCAGATCATGAAGAGGAACCTGAACAATGTGAAGAGGATGACGTCCCATCCTATCTATCAGTACTGTGAGTATTTCTTAGCAGGGACTTTGTAGTTGCCTTTTTATGGGATTAGATTTGTGCCAAATGAATCGAACAAAACCTGTCAAAATGCACACAAATAAATAAAACAAACAACATTTTTGTAAAACAAACAAAAATAAACAACAAACACAAATTAACAATCTCACTAACAAACTTACACTTAAGAGCTGGGGTGAAGTGTTCTTCAGGCTCAGTAGCTTCAGAAAGTGGCTGTTTCTCAATTCCAAGAATGCAGAGAACAGAGCTGCGTTCTTGTGAAGACCGGTCTTGACAGGTGTCCGCGTAGAAACGAACTGAGGAAACCACGAGAACAGAGAACGCGTCCTTTCCTTTTTGATGGAAAACTATTTAAACATTACAGCATTCATACAACGATTTACTGTTTTTCCCCCTTTTCAAAATATAAACTCTAAATAAAAATATTACAAATATACGTTGCACAATATAAATAAAACAGATTTTAATATGAATTTCAGCAAACAAACACCCTTAATGTGTTTATTCCTTTGTTAAGATGTTTGTGGTAATATTTATATTCACAGTTTCATTTACGAAAACTTCTGAGTTAAATAAGTGATATCTCTGAACTTGAATAATGAATCTTAATAAAATATTGCGCTTCCCACCTCAAGTCATAATGACTTCTGGGACTTCTAGAGCGAGATCGGTGCTCAAGTCTGCATCGGTGCGTCCTCGATATCAAGAACACCTCTGGGAAGTTTCACGCGTCCTCTGTTTTTGCGGTCTTGAGTATTGGAACTGAACTTTGGCAACTGATGATGACGTTACACAAGAACACGAGGACGCAAGACCGCTGAATAACGCACACTGAGAAACAGCCAGTGTTTATACCCATACCACTCAGGCAGGCTCGTAACGATTAGCAGCTGGGAGCTAATTAACCTTAAAGCAGGACAGAGAGAGAGAAGCAGGTTGGAGCACAACACAATATGCAACACAACTACACATAGGCTGCGTCCGAAACCGCCTACTACTCAGTAGGTACTGCATTTGAATTTAAACGTACTACTCGGCCGTTAGAAAAGTACGTTCTAGACAGTATTAATGTAAAAAGTATGAATGGAATTCAGACGTACTACATCCGCCATTTTGTCATGGTCACATGACCTACCTGCATCAATTGCGTCGCTTTACTCCCATCCATGAATTCGCTCGCGGGGCATCATGGGATAGCGCAGCATGCATGGGATGCACACTCTAGAATCAAGCTGGAAGTAGTAAGTCATCTGGGTACTTCTCGCATACTGATTTTCGAATTCTATGAATTCGGAAATACGACTCGGTTCGCATACTGATTTTAGCGTGCTATATAGTATGGAAGTATGCGGTTTCAGACGCAGACATAAAGTTATGATTTGGCTGTAACACTGTCATAATTAAGCATAATTTACATAATAGCATTAGCATATATTGGAATTTACAATAATGCATAATAAATGCATAATATAACTAATGTTTTTCAATAAATTAATAATAAATTTCTAAAGTATAACAAAACATTAGAATAAAATATGGTCACTTTTAAAATATGAGTAAAAAGTAATATAATACAATTACATACTAAGCAGACAAACAATAAAAAAAAAACATATTAACGTTTATTAAAACATTTCTACTTGGACCTACTTATTCACTACCTTGAGAACTAGGGTACTGATTGAGACGCACCCTTTGGATTTGGATGAATATCCTGTTTGACTTGTTTATGTTTGTTTTTGTTTTTGTTTTTCAGATATGACTGGAGCTCAGGATGGTAGTGTGCGAATGTTTGAGTGGAATCGTCCACAGCAGCTCATCTGCTTCCGGCAGGCTGGAAACGCTCGAGTCACTCGCCTCTACTTCAACTCACAGGGCAACAAGGTATTAACACATTGAACATCAGAATTATCCAACTTCATTACCTTTTTTATTCCTCACTACATGCTGTTCAATCGTTGAGGTCAAGATTTGAAATGAATTCTTCTATTTAGCAAAGGATGCATTGAATTCATTAGAAGTTACACTGAAGGCATTTATAATGGCTTCTGTAATAGATCGTTTGTCTTATTCGGTGGAAATAATTATTGAACACGTCACCATTTTTCTCAGAAAACAAATTTCTAAAGGTGCTGTTGATTTAAAAAAAATAAAAATAAAATCACCAGATGTTGGTAACAACCAAAGAATTCCATACATGCAAAGAAAATAAAACTAATTTGTTCACAAATGAAGTTGTGTAATAAAATGAAATGACACTGAAAAAGTATTGAACATGAAGGGAGGTGTAGAAAGGCAGTGAAAGCCCAGACAGCAGCTGAAATCTCTCTAGTTTGAAGGCTGTAGAAAGAAAATAAAACTGTAGCTGTAGTAAGCTCCTCCTTACACTAGCACTTAATTCTCTGAACAGTTCTTTGCATAATTAGCACTTCTTATGTGTGTTGCCTTTTCTTGTTGAATCACTGAATGTCTCTTCAATATTAGGTTGCTTTGGATAAAAGTGTCTGCTAAATGACTAAATGCGAATGTATAATGTTACAGATATTTTTTGTTTTAAATAAAATCTGCTCATTTAAACTTTATATTCTTAAAGGTTCCGCAAAAAGTGAATAACATTTTTAATATGACACAACATTGATGATATACTACAGTGCATCTGGAAGTGCATGTTACAGCCTTATTCCAAAATGGATTAAATGCATTTATTTCCTCAAAATTCTACACACAATACCCCATAATGACAATGTTAATAAAGATTTTTTTGAAATCATTGCAAATTTACATAAAAAAAAAAAAAAACTGAAAATCACATGTAGATAAGTATTCACAGCCTTTGCTCAATACTTTGTTGATGCACCTTTGGCAGCAATTACAGCCTCAAGTCGTTTTGAATATGATGTCACAAGCTTGGCACTCCTGTCTTTGGCAATTTTTGGCCATTCCTCTTTGCAGAACCTCTCAAGCTCTATCAGGTTGAAAGGGAAGCGACGGTGTAAAGCCATTTTCAGCTCCCTCCAGAGATGTTTAACAGGATTCAGGTCTGGGCTCTGGCTGGGCCACTCAAGGACATTTACAGAGTTGTTGCCAATCCATTGATATTTTGGCGGTGTGCTTTGGGTCATTGTCCCTCTGGAAGTTGAACCGTCACCCCAGTATGAGGTCAAGAGCACTCTGAAGCAGGTTTTCATTCAGGATGTCTCTGTACATTGCTGCATTCATCTTTCCCTCTATCCTGACTAGTCTTCCAGTTCCTGCTGCTGAAAAACATCCCCACAGCATGATGCTGCCACCACCATGCTTCACTGTAGGGTTGGTATTAGCCTGGTGATGAGCGGTGCCTTCTCCAAACATAATGCCTGGCATTCACTCCAAAGAGTTAAATTTTAGTCCCATCAGACCAGAGAGTTTTGTTTCTTGGGGTCTGAGAGTCCTTCAGATGCTTTTTTGCAAATTCCAGATGGGCAATGGTTTCCGTGTGGCCCCTCTACCATACAGATCTGATTGGTGGATTGCTGCACAGATGGTTGTCCTTCTGTGAGGTTCTCTTCTCTCCACAGAAGAACGCTGTAGCTTAGACAGGGTGACCATCGGGTTATTGATCACCTCCCTGACCCTTCTCTCCTGATTACTCAGCTTATATGGCCGGCCAGCTGTAGGAAAAGTCCTGGTGGTTCCGAACATCTTCTACTTACGGATTATGGAGGCCACTGTGGTCATTGGAACTTTCAGAGCTGTAGAATTTTTTTGTAACCTTCCCCAGGCTTGTGCCTTGAGACAATCCTGTTTCCGAGGTCTATAAACAATTCCTTTGTCTTCATGCTTAGTTTGTGCTTTGACATGCACTGTCAACCCTGGGACCTTATATAGACAGGTGTATGCCTTTTCAAATCATGTCCAATAAACTGAATTTACCACAGGTGAACTCCAATTTAGGCTGCTGAAACGTCACAAGAATGATCCGTGGAAACGGAATGTACCTGAGCTCAATTTCAAGGCTGTGAATACTGATGTACATGTGATTTTTCAGGTGTTTTATTTTTAATAAATTTGCAACAATTTTTTTTGTTTTCAATTTCAATCTTTTTTTCACATTGTCAATATGGAGTATTGTTTATCAAATTTTGAGGAAAAAAATAAATGTAATCAATTTTGGAATAAGGCTGTAACAAAAAAATGTGGAAAAGGTGAAGCGCTATGAATACTTTCTGGATGCAGTGTATGCATTTATTGAGCTATTCAAATAAATTACAGCTACTTGATAACAAAAGATGACAACAACAAATAGATTAAACATGTTTTAGACTACATTTACTGAAAATACAAAAATAAAAATGTATATTATCCACTGGACAATGTTTTGACCTCAGATTACGTTTACTGATGTACAATAGAATTGATGTCCGTGATATTATGTAATGAGTCCAGTACAGCAGTACATCTGTTCACCATAGCTCATCCTGTTGTCTCCTCTGTGCTCTGTTTGACTCATTATGCAATCTGCTGCTGAAAATACTAAATTTGTCCACTCATTTGAAACTCTGCAGTGTGGCGTTGCAGATGGTGAGGGATTTTTGAGCCTCTGGCAAGTCAATCAAACCTCCTCAAACCCAAAGCCCTATTTGGTAAGACTCTTGTTTTTGTATCACACAGCTATTACTGACAGTCAATGATGTTTAAATTAAATTGATATTAAAACAATAATCTAAGGCCATAAATAAGAATGACTGCATTGTATGACAGGCTGCTTTTTCTAAATGTTCACAGTGAATTTAATTTTTAAGAGTAACACAAGTTATTCTACTTTATTCTTGCAAATAACATTGCCAGAAAGCTTTTCAAATTAATAGAGCTCTCTAATATAATTTTACTTACAAATCAAAATAGAGAGATCAATTAGATTTACAATGTTTTACAGTAACAACAATATAATGTAATGTAATGTAATGCAATATATTACACTCAACTGCCACTTCATTAGGTACATCTTACTAGTACCGGGTTGGACCCCCTTATGATTCAGCAAGGTACTGGAAATATTCCTCAGAAATTTTGGTCGATACTGACATTATAGCATCACGCAGTTCCTGCAATTTTGTCTGCTGCACATCCAAGATGCGAATCTCCCATTCCACCATGTCCCAAAGGTGCTTTATTGGATTACGAACTAGTGACTGTGGAGGCCATTTGAGTACAGTGAACTCATTGTCAAGAAACCAGTCTGAGATGATTCGTGCTTTATGACATGGCGCGTTATCCTGCTGGAAGTAGCCATCAGAAGATGGGTTCACTGTGGTCATAAAGGGATGGACATGGTCAGTATCAAAACTGCTGCCATGTGATTGGCTGATTAGAAATTAGCGTTAATAAAGTGACCAGTGAGTGTATAATATAATACAATACAATAAAACATAACATAATATGATATAACATAATAATACTTTACACATTCCATGTATTTACTATAATAATTACAATTATGCATAATTACATATACACTAACCCTAAACCTAATCCACATTCTAATCCCAACCATATAGTAAGTACATGTAATAAATTAATATTACTCAATATTTAAATGAATAGTCACACTGTAGCTACATCGCCTTAAAATAAAGCGTATATTAAATAGCACTGCTTAGCAGTACATATTACAAATAGTACATATTATATGTAAAAATATTTTGGGTTATGCTTTATTTTAATGCACAATTCACACTATTAACAAACCATTAGCTAAGACTTTTAGCTCAATAAACTACTAATTAGCTGCTTATCAGTAGTCAGTAAGGGGTTTAGTGGGTTTTGGTATTGGGTAGGATTAGGCATGCAGAGTAAGATCCTACTGTACATAAAGTGATAATAAATAGTTCATATTTTAATAAAAGGCAGCTACAATAGTATAATATGATATATATTGCAACACCTCCTCTCCTTGAATTAGGATCACTCTGAGGGGTTCTACAGAAATTTGGCTGACTGAATAAACACTCTCTCGAAACAAATTATAGCAAGCGTAAACTTTCTTTTATTTTACCCAGATGCGTATTGTTTTATCATCAAACTGAAAAAAGAATCAATCACAAAAAAAAACAAGACTCTTTTTTTTTTTAAGTTAGAATCTAAATAGTCTTTCTGAATAAAGTCAGTGATCACTTATCGTTCAAAGCACTTGAGAGCAATGCAATGATTCCTTTCGATGCCCTGTCACTCGTTAGGAAAGCACCCGATATTGTATGAAGAAAAGCCATCCTTCAACAAACAGCGCTCCGTGTCCGCAATACTCAAATGTCTCAACCGTTGCCGTCTGTCTCATGAGAGGAAGTTGCTCCCCGAGTTGGATGAGCTTAGTATTGCTTAATTTCATTTCATTTTCTTTTTGGCTTGGTCCCTTTATTAATCCGGGGTCGCCACAGCGGAATGAACCGTCAAAGTACAGTTTTGATGCAGCGGATGCCCTTCCAGCTGCAACCCATCTCTAGGAAACATCCACACACACTCATTCACACTCACACACTACGGACAATTTAGCCTACCCAATTCACCTGTACCGCATGTCTTTGGACTGTGGGGGAAACCGGAGCACCCGGAGGAAACCCAAGCAAAATGTCAACTGACCCAGCCAAGGCTCGAACCAGCAACCTTCTTGCTATGAGGCGACAGCACTAACTACTGCACCACTGCATCGCCAGTATTGCTTAATCTCCCTGTGAAATCAACAAGCAAACAGTTTGACGTATAAGGATAGCAAAAAATTAAACAGTCTTTTCTAAAACAAACAAAAATGACATAAGTAACTGCTTATCCCAACACATCAGATAAAGACACATATACTTACAATGGAGCAACAGTTCTTAACATAGGACTGAAATTGCATGCCGGTAGTGGAAGTGATACCATGCAGTGTACACTCTACCAAACACTCACTCTTACTCTATGGTAAGCTGCTCTTTATGAAGGCACATATCCACATATCGCCCCGCGGAGGTCGGAAGCAGTATTACTACATGTCAACATACTAATTTTACCATGCCAAACAATACACCATGCAAAAAAAAAATAATAATAAAATAAATAATTCGGAAAATGATAACAGTAACATTATCTAACTGTTACAATATAATAGTATAATAATTATAATACTACAGTATTTATGTTATAGTATAATATAATATATCATAATATATAATATAATATAATACAATATAATATAATATAATATCATATAATATCATATAATATAGTCCAATAGTAATCGCTGTGAATTGTTACTTATTGTTATCATTGAAATCAAAAAAATACAATTAGAATTGAATTACAGGTTTCTCTAATTCAGTGCTACTGTATGATATCAAAATACGCTTGTGTGTGTGTTTGTCTCAGAGCTGGCAGTGTCACAGTAAAAGCTGTGGTGATTTTGCCTTCATCACGTCCTCTAGTCTGATCGCCACAGCGGGACAGTCCAACGATGGCAGGTCAGTTGAATGCTTTATCTTGTCATCACATAGAAACAAACTGTTCATAGTGTTTTTAAAGAAGTGTTTCTCTTTGTTCCACAGAAATGTCTGTTTATGGGACACACTGATCGCTCCTAGTAACTCCATGATACACTGTGAGTTCACAGACAGAGCAAGATATTGAAAAGAAAATAGCGAAACAATTGATTAACATAGACTATTATAATATTTCTGTTCTTTATACATGATGTGTGTGCGTTTGTGTGTGGTGGATGTGTATAGGCCTATATCAGCCCTCCTGTGGATTTTTTATTTTCAAATATTTCCAAATGATTAGTAACAGAGCAAGGAATTTTACACAGTATTTCCTATAATATTTTATCTTATTTGTTTTATTTCGGCTAGAATAAAAGCAGTGTTAATTTTTTTAAAGCCATTTTATGGTCAAGATTATTAGCCCTTTTAAGCATTTTTTTCCAATGGTCTTCAGAACAAACCATCATTATACAATGACCTGCCTAATTACCCTAATGCTGAGTTCAGATTTCATGATTTTAGCCCCGATTGTTGACTCACTGACAGGTTTTGAGAAACCACAGACAAATGCCTGAAATCACAGGCAAATCTGTGCTAATTTACACGATTAACAATCACACAGTGTGAACTATCAAAGACTCGATTTGAGAAAATCGCAGATGAGTGCGATTTAAATCATGCCATGTAAAACTAGTTCTGACTGAAAATAACATCATAGCTTGCCTACAGCCAATGAGAGAGCAGCATCCTCTAGTATGGGTATCTATTGGCCAGCGGGAGTTTGGGAAAGAAGTTAAAAGAGCTTCTTTTCAGTCTATTCGTACGCAAGAAATGAAGGAAAAACTAGTGGAATTTTGGCACCCGTGTCTGTTTGACGTGTCATCTGAACAATATCTCTTATAGCAATTCTCTTTTATGCACCTGACACTTTATCAAAACTCCCATCTTACAAGAACTCAATAAGGAAAACAATTTTTACTATAAATGTACTACAATCATGCTGCACTGCTTATTACCTCTCTTGCACAATCTATCCTGCACAAGATTGTTCAATCTCATGTAAAAGTACTTGCCTGTCTTTGATGTATTGTCTGAACATTTTTTTTTAGAGTGTATGTTAGTTATGCATAGGTTTTTATAGTAGCTCTTATGTCCAGTGTTGTGTTTGTAATTATGATTAATCTATGTAGAACCGTTGTCCTGCATGACACGACATTTTGTTCCTCTGTATGTCTACACATGTAGCGGAATGACAATAAAGCTCGACTTGACTTGACTTGATAACCAGGTCGAAAAAGAAAAAAAAAGTTTAAGAGAAATCGCTAATTCCCTTTAAAACGCAGGTGAGCAAAATAAGCACATTTTCTGCCCCACTAAAGGCTTCTTTCTCGCATTGTTACTTTTTGTGTGTTTGGTTTTGAGATGTAGTTTTGCGGACTGAGACAGAGTTGTCGGCGATTCTCCTATTGTAAAGTCATGCTGTGTGAAACCCTCTGTCGCCGATCCATCCTACAGTGTAAACACAGCAGCGACGGAACGCTAGCCTAGCTAGTCATGCAGTGTGAAAACATCTGTGACACGACTATTTTAAAAAATTGTGCAGTCTGAACTCGGCATAACTTGCCTAATTAACCTAGTTAAGCCTTTAAATGTCACTTTAAGTTAAATACTAGCATTCTAAAAATATCTAGTCAAACATTATGTACTGTCTTCATGACAAAGAAAAGAAATCAGTTATTAGAAATTAATTATTAAAACTATTATGTTTAGAAATGTGTTGAAAAAGTCTGAAACAGAAATTGGGGAAAGGTATATAAGGGGGCTAATAAATCTGACTTCAACTCTAATTCTAAAAACAAAGTAAATGTCTAAATACTGTGACATAGCATTAAGGTAACAATATAATGCTGTGTGCACACCAGACGCGGAACGCGCGGATAAATCGTGATATTCGCACGTAAATAGCTGCGTGAACATTTGCGGTTACTCGCTTCATTCGCGCGTCAAACCCAGCTTCATTCGCGTGTCAAATTCACTTCAGAACAGTCGCGTGATGGGCAGGGCTTCTGTCTGCCCTGTGACTCTAGCTTCATAGCTAAAGGGCTAACATGGATTTTATGAAGAAAATAACAGTGTTTATGTAATTTATAAAGGATGATAAACAGCGTCGATACGTTTAGAGCGGTGTCTGAGTCCACTACAGCCTTTCAGAGGTGCATCCAGCTTTTTAAGCTCATAGACTCCCCAGAAACTGAACCTGGCTGATGGAGGTTTTCAGTGGTGCTTGTGACTGAGCCCAGCCCAGTTTGATGAACTTCTTGTCGGTGTCTGCTGGGCGATTTCCCCTGGAACACAGACAACAGGTGATGCGTCACAATCACACCCCCACAAGAGCAAGCTCCTGATTGGTTAAAGCGGCGCGAATGTTCGCTGAAGTTCAGATTTTCGAACTCGAGTGATTTGGGCGAAACGCGTATTAAGCTCGTCAAACGCGCAAAACGCTCAATTCGCGCCACGCCATTCGCGCCATGCGCACCGCTCAATTCTCGTCATTCGCGCCGCGCCATTCGCGCGTATCACATTGACTTAACATATAAATCACTCGCGCTTGACGCGTGTTCCGCGTCTGGTGTGAACGCAGCATAACAGGTAGTCTAAAAATTGCTACTGTTAGTGCTAATAATTGCTAGCATTACTTTTGAAAGGAGCTGATTTTTTGAAGTAGGGGCCCATTACTAAAAAATTGCTTTATTAATATCTGAATTTACAGTTTTAGTGTCTTTAAAAAAATAAAAAAGCTCTGCAGATACTCTGGTTTTAATGCCGTATTTTCTCTGTGTCCAGCCTTCCAGTGTCATGAGAATGGTGCGACCGTTCTTCAGTACGCTCCTAAGCAGCAGTTGATCATCACGGGCGGCAGGAAGGGATTCGTCTGTGTTTTTGACATCCGTCAGCGGCAACTGCTGAACACATTCCAGGCACACGATTCGGCCATCAAAGCCCTGGCCATGGACTCCAGTGAGGACTTTTTTGTCACTGGTTCGGCTGAAGGGAACATGAAGGTATATTTCTCTAGAAACACCTTAAGGCTAATTTATACTTCTGCATCAAGCGCACGCGTATCCTAAGACGCAGCCTACTCGTGGACGCATAGCCCTCGTCGAGGCCGTCGGCAACACTGACACGCACCTCTCAAAAGATGTAACTACGCGTCACAATGACGCATAGCGCAAGCTCTGTGATTGGAGGCTTGGAAGCACTGACGAGTGTGGGTGGGACAGAGAGCTGCGTGAGTCTGTTGGAGCGACTGTTAACAAGTGTCAACTGTTTACAAGGAGGTCCGAAAGGAGACCGTTGCTTTGTGTTTACCTTATGTTTAAAGTTGTTGCACGTCCGCCGGTTCCTGCCTTAAAATGAGCAAGTTTGAGCTACTTGTACATTAAGGAAGCATTCAGAAAAAACAAAACACCAGCGAAGAAACTCGACAGAGGAACAAAAACACCTACTTCCAGCTAGCAGTTTAGAAGTGTTATTGCAGAGCTACAGAAACAGCGCACAGAAGTATGAATGCACAGCTCCGCGCGTTGCATGCCCCGTGGGTCACGCCGATGGCTTGACGCAGAAGTATAAACCAGGCTCTATGTGGCTGATAAGATCATTTAGGCCAGGGGTGTCAAACTCAGTTCGGCAGCTCTGCACAGTTTAGTTCCAACCTTAATTAAACACTCCCGATCAAACTATTAGAATACTTCAGGCTTGTTTGAAACTTACAGGTAAGTGTGTTTGAGCAGGCTTAAGGCTGATTTATACTTCTGCGTCAAACGCCGGTGTATGCTACAGCGCTGACGCATAGCCCTTCGCTGTGGCCGTCGGCGTGGCTGACGTGCACCTCTCAAAAATTGTAACTACACGTCGCAACGACGCGTAGCGCAAGCTCTGTGATTGGTCGGCTTGGTAGCGTTGACGAGTCTGGGCGGGACCGAGAGCCTTGCGAATGGCGCAAGCTGGACGCGAGCCCAATGGAACGATTGTTTACAAGTGTGGAGTCCCGTGAAGGAGCTCCTGATGGAAAGTTTTGTTGTTGCACGTCCGCCAGTTCCTGCCTCAAAATGAGCGAGTTTGAGCCACTTGTACATCCCGGAAGTGTTCAGGAAAAGCAAAACACCGGCGAAGAAACTCGACACAGAGGAACATTTACACCTCACTGCCTATCTGTGCACAATTTGTTCCTCTTTGTATTAATAGTATGCTCACACTAAAACAAACAACACTTAAAGTGTGGGCTTTTCACATTTGCACTTCATACTCTCAACTGTTTAATTTTTGTTCATCTTCGGAACACAAATGAATATATGTTATATGAAATCTGACAGCTCTCTCATCCTCAATTGACAGCAACGATCACAAAGCATTCAAAGACATTTCTGAATGTACAGAAAGGGAACCAAAAAATTATCAAAACATCTCATGTCACTTCAGTGGTTCTGTTGTAATCATGCAAAGCTCTATGAATACTTCTGTGCACCTAGAAAAACCCAAAGAGATTCTTAAGTTCAAGTTGATTAAATTGACTACTTTGAAGCAATGAGTGACATTTGAATGGGAAATTAATTTAGTTTATGACAAGTAATGCTGTTTTGTTGATAATGCCAACCTGTATCAAGACAATGCTAAGACACTGACAAGTTGGCTTGGTTATGTCAAAAACACCAAGTTGTCATGTGTTTGTTTGTCAAGTCGCCATAACAAAGGCATTTCAAACAATGTCACCTTTGCATTCTAAGCTAATAACACTTAATGACAGTTGTCATAAGCATACATAAAATCTGCTGATATTCATGGAGTGTCATGATACACTGTAAAAGTGTTGGGTTCCAGACAACTCCTTCATGTTGTCCCAACACAAATCCAATAAGTTCACTTTCAGTCACGATTATTTTTACAAATTTAAGTTGATTGAACATAAAACAATAAATTTGTCTTGAAAAAAAACTCATTTTGAATAAGTAGTATGAACAAGCAGCACTCACATTGTAAAAAAAAGCTACAACAAAGGAACAACAAAGATGAGTTAAGTTATTAGGGCGGCACGATTAATCAAAGAAAGGTCACGATCTCGATTCAACCCTACAAAGTGAATACAAAACCAACTTCACCTCAGTAAAGCAGGCATGGCAGAACAGCATTATTTACTTATGTTTTGTTGTTGAACTAAATAAAAATCTACATTAATAATGCTGTAAAAGAACCTTATGAAACTGAAATTAGTCACCCATTTGTAACAACACAATCTACATCAGCTTTGCGTGACTAAAATAGTTTTAAAACATAACATTACTTGTCCAAAATAATCCAGCCATGCTGTCATCCTTCCTCCAGCATGCAAAAGTAACTTTAATATTGATTCAGGATTTTAAAAAGTTTGAATTCAGAATTTGACTTTACCGCTGTGTCTCGTGTGCACATGAACGCGTAGCGCGCATGCACACATGCACGTGCCAGAGGCAGATCTGCATAAACAGAGATGCGCAGTTGTACAAATCTGCATTTGACAGACAGTTTGGGCTACTTATCAGAATTCCGGGATTTATCGGCCTGACAATATTTAAATGGATGAACTTTTTTTTAGTCTTATGCCTTACCCAGAATATAAAAATACATATAAATACATTTAGATCATTTACATCAATCATTACTATTAAACTGTGAAGAGACTTTCAACCAGCACAACAAAAAATGTTTTTGTTGACAATCACCTACTTTACCTTTAAGTTAACTTATTAGTTCTTACAAATTTAAGTGGATTGAATATAAAACATTTAAGTTTCCCCCAAAAAACTCTGTATGAGTGTATGATTATTAAGCTGTCTTGAGCACCCATTCAAGTAAAATATGACCTAAAATAAGATTCCTGAACACAGCTAATAATAGTATTTCTGCTCCTTCTCAGGTCTGGAAGTTGGCAGGTCATGGCCTCATGCACTCATTCAGCACCGAACACGCCAAACAGTCCATATTCCGCAACATTGGGGCCGGCGTGATGCAGATTGAAACCTGCCCAGGAAATCGGATCTTCACCTGCGGTGCCGACGGAACCCTGAAGATGAGGGTCCTTCCCGACCGCTACAACATTCCGGCCAGTATATTCCAGATCCTCTAACAGCGGAGCAGCCCCCGGAACACTTAACGCTTTCATCGACACCTCTGCGTTTCCTTAGCTGTGAATCGTAAAACCGGTAACAAATATCTCGCACCTCGCCCCACGAAAAAAAAAAAAAAAACACGCCGAGGTCCCTCGATTACTGAACGATCGACTCCGGTTAACGAGAATCCGGATAACGTGTTGGTAGGAAAAGCCGTATGCATGAGCTGTTTGAGTCATCGCACTCCATTCCCAGGTTATTGGTCGTGCTCTTGTAAAAGTGCTCAAAGCTCCATTTTTAGGTGTGTATGTGTGTGTCTTCATTTTGTGCCCATTTTAGCATCGAAAAATACCAGCACTGTGCTTCTGCTCTCAGTGTAAGTCCAGTTGTTGGGGTTTTTGTTTTTACTGTACGTTTTCTCCTTGGCTGCTAATGTATTTGCGGAGTGTAAAATGGCACAGTACCCTGGTGGCCCGGCGGTTCGTCACGGCCCCAGAGACACAACCCTTTCCCTGCCACACACACACACACTCAAACACACACACAGACACACACAAGTGCGCACGCTGCTGTCGACACGCAAACATTCCACGCGAGACAATGGCGCTTGCTCCTGGAAATGACGTATTTCACTTCTTCGTCCGTCAGAGCCCTCAAAAATCCTCACTTCTAACTGAAATGGTTTTGTTTTTGCACAAAATATTTGTTTGTTCGTTTGTTTTTCCGTTTCGTTCGTTCTTTTACCAAAACGTGTCGTATTTATATTTACCTTTTAGGAATGTAAGGTATGTTTTAGATGTCTGGGATCAAAGTGCAACACTGAATAGCTTTGTGTTTTATTTATTTACATATTTATTTTTTCATGTTTTATCTCTTCTAAATATTTGCACTCAGATCTGGGGAAACAATACCAGTCTCGTGTGGTAAAAGCTCTATTAGAGGAAACTGTTATTTACAAATGAATGTCTGGCTGTGTGTGGCCGAGTAGTTACAAAGTGGAAATAGTTTTAAACGAATAAATATATATATATATAAATATAAATATATATATAAATGAAATATTACAATAGCTTGTACAAACACAATAATGCTTTTACTTTATTTTTTTTTTATTTGATCTTAACTGCTGGAATAGTCGTATCTTTGGTTTGACGTACACGTGGTATTTATTAAATCATATTTGTGTTTCTGTCTGATTTGCTGGGCACCATGTCAACTGTACGTACTTTTAAATGTTCAAACCGATGGTCTGATGTGTATTTATTGAACAGCCTGATCCGTCTGCGTGTGTGAAAAATGCAAACACCTCCCCCAAAAACACTGGTTGATATTTCCCTGAAGGAAACAACAGGTAGTTCTGTCATGGTCAAAGTTTTACCTTTGTAAGTTGAATAAATTCTTTTTATTTGAATTAAACCAGTTTCTCTTTCGCTCTCTTGACTCACGCACATTTCTTTGGGATTTTAGACACATTTCAGGTTTTATTTCAGGAATGGCATATACACATACATGCGGCGTAAATCAAATAATATCTGACTTGTACATATTAACAGTGTGTGATTGATTCTCATGTTGAGTTCATGAATACATTTTGATATATTTTTTAAACTTACCACAAATCTTTAAAATGACTTTCTGTTGGACAACAAAATAACTATAAATCATATAATAATCATAATATAAACGATAAACGATGCACTATTATTAAGGTTTGTGAAGATAGTATTGATATTACAAGTAAGGAAGAAAGAACAAGTAAGAGAATTAGGAATAAGAGATAATATTTGCATAACATTCCAACAAAATATTAGCCAAAAAAAAAAGAAAAATGCAGCGTAAAAAGTAAAAATGGCACAAATAAATAAATAAATATAGTAGCCCACAATGCATTTGAAGACAACTTTGAATGGTAACACATTAAAACAACTACCAAATACAAGTGACATTTATACAAATGACTTTGTTTTCCATGAAAATGTGAGAAAAAAATACAAATTCTATTAAGTACTTTTAACATTAAAAACTTTTAGTAGCACCATTTTAGGTTTGAAGCTGATATTAAAGGGGTGGTCCACTACAATGTCATATTTTAAACTTTAGTTGATGTGTAATGTAGATGTGTAAACATAAACAACATCTCTGAATGTGATACACTCAAAGTTCAATGCAAATGAGACACTGGCTTTTACAGAGTAAGCTTAGCAAAGTCTACAATAAACAAAGTTTGGGGACTACAAAAAAAATATCTGCGCTAGTTAGATCACAAGCGATTTAGGTTAAGCGCATTCACCATGCGTAGACACTCCGCGCAGAATCATGGCATGACCAGAGGTGCTGTAATGTTATAGCAGAGAAAGCTAAAATGCCGTCCAAATGCTGCTATTTCCGCAGAGCGCGTTTTGTTTCTGTATTTGGGCTTCCAAGGGACACGACAGAAAGAGAACAGTGCTTACAGTTTAATTGTAATTATGTTCCAGAGAACTATAAAATATATATAGCTAGCATTCGACAAAGGACAGCTTTCAGAATCTCTCCCAGTTCAGTGCTGAATTCAGCTAAAAACTCCTCCAACTGACGAAGCTGTGGACTGTGAGTCTCAACCTGTGAGTATTTTTATTTGTTAAAATTTATCATTTAAATGCATAGTATCTAGCGGTAACAGTATGTTGTAGCGAGGATGTAAACAAGGATGGAAACAACAGGAACATTTATGGATGCTTTTAGTGTCTCTCTATACGCCCGCTTTCCGTGTGTTCTACATCTCAAATAATAAACTCGCAAAAGATATTTGAACGTTTCCTAATAGTTAAAGATGCTTATTCCGAATATGTGAAATACACTTGTCAGATTTTATTTTAGAGAGCAGGCGTGAGGTTAAGCTGTGTACTCTTCATTTTCTGACAGATTTAGCTACTGTTTACACGGCACAAAACTGCATGCTTGTAGAGCTGTGACGTGGTGACATGGAGCCGATCCACGAATCACAGCACATTATGTTAGCCGACCAATCAGAGCCTCTTGAGGGTGGGCCTTTCAGAAAAACTGGGAAATATGACAGTGGTTTTCATGTTAGCTGAATAGCTGTATATAATCGAAGTAAGATGTATGAAAAAATACTGTGATTTTCTACAAGTGAAGCATGAGCTTGCTTTGCATCTCATAAACAACCAATCCTTAAAAACACTATGGACCACCCCTTTAAAAATTTGCAGAGATGTGATTTGGGGAGGGGGTGTTGTAATTATACATTCTAATGTGTATGATGGACTTAATCTGATGCAAATAAAACTGAATCTGGTCTGTGTTTCACTGTATTTCCTATTTAGGCTTTTAGAAACTATAGATGTGTTAATACCAGAAATAAATATATTTAATTTAAACGATCCAACCCGCGGAAATAATTGTGATTAAGTTGTCACGTAGACACATAACCTGCCAACACTCCCGTTTTTTTCTGGGAGTCTCCCATATTTCAGACTCATCTACCCCCACCCTCCTGTTTTTTTTTTTTATTCCAGGAAAACTCCCATAACTCCACCCATCCACTCTTTTTGGGACAGCCTATAACACTCCCTGGTCGTCAACTTTGGTATAGTATCCGATCGCTGCCGATTCCGGTAATTTCAGAGACAAATGTTGGCAGGTATGCACATTACTGTTTCCACCTCGCATTAACACGCATTTAAGTGAAGTTTATTTATAAATGAAGTTTCACAAACTAATTTCGAGAGGAGCTCGTGATATGATTGACTGCAGCTGGCCACTCATCTACACTCATTGGCTAGCCAATCGGATTGATCCAAACTCACTATAAGTAACCTAGCTAAGAACTACTCCCTTATCTTCGTTTTCCGAAGAAACCCCCTATACACCCCTTCTCCTCCTTTCCTCTTTTGCCGAGGGGAGCTCTCGAGAACACCTGACCTCGTACTCCCCTCACATGCTTTATGGACCTGGCGGGAGCCCTGGGCTCAACTATCTCCGAGCTCAGGGTTCTCTTCCGGGACAGCATGCCAAACCTGCTAACTTGCTAACAAGTTGTCAAACAGTATCTAAGTGCGAACTCTTGAAACTAATTTCGAGAGGATTGCGTGCTTGTGATTGTTCACAGCTGGTCCCACATCAGCTTACGATTAATTCACCAATCAGATGATTCCTAACTCACTATAAATATAAGTTTCTTATCTCAGTATCTTTGTCTTAAAGGACACCCCCACCTACCCCTACTCCCCCTCTTTTTAGATGGGCAACACAGTGGCCCAATAATTAGAAAGAATGTCTCTGGTTATAGTCTATACTAAACCAGTCGACAATTTTGTGTGGAGTTTGCTTGTTCTTCCCATGTTTACATGGGTTTCCCCCAGATTCTCCTGTTTTCTCCCACAGTCCAAAATACATGCAACCTAAGTAAATTGAACATACCATCAAGCTCTTAGCAAGCCGCATATCTCTCCTTAGCCATCCATATATCTGTCAATTAGCCAGAAATAAGTTGCGGGAGTTCATCGCGTATCGATATCTACCTGAGCTCAAACTCCCTTCTTGCCCTGCTAACAGGAGGGAGCCCAGGGCTCGAGGATCGTATAAGCTCAGGGCTCTCTCCTGGGACAGCATGCCAAACAAGCTTTATTATCAATCATCTAAGTGTGAACTCCTGAAATGCACCTAATACGATCCTTACACACAAAAGCAATCCAATTAAATGTGTTTTCTTTGGAGGTGATTGTCAAGTTCACAATGTTTTCAGCCCGTTTACACCTGTATTTAGTGTCGCCTACTTGTTTTGGGGTTTACAAAACTGCATCCAATACCCATATAAACGAGCTCCAATATTTAAAGGTAGATTAAGTGTCCAAACACAGCACAGTTTTATCAAATGTTATTTGCTTTACAAATTTCTGTGTAGTAATAGCAAAAAAAGTCAGCAGATTCTGCCTGACCCTAGTCAAGACTTTGGTTCACTGTCCTATAAACACAAAGAAACTCACTCAGTCATCCATCAAAATGGGTAAAACCAAATAACAGATCTGTGTGATTTGCAGCAAAATGTAGTAAATCAGTCTGAAAGAGGACTGGTGACTATCTTTATCACTGTTGGGAGGATGATTTGAGTACCCTAAAATGTCCAACAATCACAGCTGGAGAATTGCAGACATTATTTAGATTTTTGGGTCAGTGTTTGAAGTGGTTTCAAGAATTAAAATAAGCATACACTACCAGACAAAAGTCTTGCCATCGATCCCAGTTGTAAGAGCAACAAATACTAACTTGACTTCTAGTTGATCATTTGGAAAAGTGGCAGAAGGTAGATTTTTTTTTTTTTTTGATGGATCATCTGTAAAACTGCATCCCAATCATCACAAATACTGCAGAAGACTGATTGGAACCCCAATGGACCCAAGATTCTCACAGAAATCAGTCAAGTTTGGTGAAGGAAAAGGTTTGGGGTTACATTCAGTATGGTGGTATGCGAGAGATCTGATGTGAGAACATCAACAGCCTGAGGTGTCAAGATATTTGTGCTGCCCATTACATTTCAAACCACAGGAAAGGGCAAATTCTTCAGCAGGATAGCGCTCCTTCTCATACTTCAAAGTTCCTCAAAGCAAAAGGGTCAAGGTGCTCCAGGATTGGCCAGCCCAGTCACCAAACATGAAAATTATTGAGCATGTCTGGGGTAAGATGAAGGTGGAGGCATTGAAGATGAATTCAAAGAATCTTGAACTTTGGGAATCCTGCAAGAACGCTTTCTTTGCCATTTCAGATGACTTTATTAATAAGCTATTTGAGTCACTGCAGAAATATATGGATGCAGTTGTCCAAGCTCATGGGAGTCATATATAATATTAATTCTTTCTCCACTGCAACATGACTTTAAATTCTATACTGTACGTTATTTCTGTTAAGTGACAAGACTTTTGTCTAAGCAGAGTCAGCCCTTACCGTCCTGATTAAATAATTAAAAATCAAGGCATGATCATGTTTTATTTTGGTAAAACAAGTGTAATCTAGAGGTCTTTGCCTTTCATATAAGCCACTTCTGATTTTAAATGATCAACTAGAATTCAAGCTATTACTTGTTGTTCCTAAAACTTGGATAAGAGACAAGACATTTGTCAGGTAATGTATACTTCTATCTAGCTTAGTGTTAGCTCACCCAAAAGTTTCAATTGGTATTAATTACTCACCCTCATGTCATTCCAAACTCCTCAGACCTCAGTTTGTCTTCGGAACACAAATTAAGATATGTCAGATGAAATCTGAGAGCTCTCCCATCTACCATAGTAATTTTCCAGACTCATTCAAAGTCCAGAAAGGTAACAAAATTTCATCAAAACAAGCTACAAGAATACCTTTGTCCACACATACAGTAAAACCAAAAATAAATACTTTATTCAGCAGTTTCTTCTCGGTGTGAGTGTATTTCGCACATTAATGTATTACACCTACTTTCATGATCGCAGCTCTGATGTATCTGTGCATGTGCTTTGTGAAGTTTATTTTTAAACTTATTTCGAAAGGATCACGTGCTCATGATTGACCACAGCTAGTCCACAGTTGCCAATTCATGATTCACCAATCAAACAATTTCTAACTCACCATAAATAACCGAAGTTCCATACCACAAACATCTTCGTTTTGAGGAATTCCTCATTCCACCCCTTCTCCTCCTCCTTTTCTAGATTGGCTGGCAGGGCAGCCCAGTGGTTTGCACTGTTGCCTTACAGCAAAAATGTCACTAGTTCTAGTCCTTAACAGGCCAGCCAACGTTTTTGTTTACATGTTCTCCTCATGCTCTCATTAGTTTTTCCCGGTTTCCACCCACCATCCAAAATAAATCGGCACTATAGACGTGTTCCTAGTGAGAAGTTATCTCTTCATACCAATCCCTAAGTGCTCATTAGCTACAAACAGCAGGGAAGTTCTCGAGATCAACCTGAGTTCAAACTTCCCTCTCGCTCTGCAAATGGGAGGGAGCCCCAGGCTTGAGGATCTTATGAGCTCAGGGCTCTCTCCTTGGAGTATTCCAAACAAGCTTTATAAACAATCATCAGCTGAGTGAACTCTTGAAGTTTCAAACAAAGGAAGTCACGCAATGTTTGTGAACATGAGCCTATTGTGACACTGAGGAAAAGAAAAAGTTGATAAAAAAAAAAAAAGTTTAAGTGCGCACAAAAAAAAAAAAACATATTTGTAGCTCAGAAGGGGTAAACTAGGCCCACAGGCCATATGCAGCCCACTGGACACCTTCATCTGCTGGCTCTCAAGGGAGTTTTTAAAATACTCCTTCTGAGTGAAGGTTTGGTTTCATAATTAGTAAGTTGATGATGCAATACAAGATAACGCTGTTTGATGGCAGTATAGCATGCTTTAAAGTGGGGCTGCAACAACGAATTGATTAAATCGCTAAAAATCGATTACTAAAAGCGTTGGCAATGTATTTCATAATCGATTTGTTGTGTCGCGCGACACGGCAAGGTTCTACTTTTGTTCCGTTTTGAATTGAGGACTGTAAAGTCCCTGGTGCTGATGTTTTACTCGTTATCCAGCTTGACATACACGACAAATTAGCGTTAGCTCATTTATCTTTACGCCCCATTCACACAAGGCGTCAGCTTCAGCGCTTTACATTCACTTTGAATAAGTGACGTCAGGCGTTGCCGAACTGCATTGTGGATCCGTCGGCGCCGCTTCAGAGGCGTTGCTTGCTGCAAAAGTTGGGACTTGCTTAACTTTTCAAGCGCCAACGGAAGCGTCAGCCAATCAGATCGCTGTATGCAAATACACCAGCTCAGATAGTGGCCTATTCTTACTAATTTCATTGGCTGAAGCTGCTATGACGATCGCATCAGCCCCAACTTCGGACAAGCCCTCTGTCAAGCATTGACGCTGAAGCCCCATGTGAATGTGGCAACTGAGAAAATCAAACTGAGTTTTGGCGTGGTGTCTGGCGCTCAGCCAGAGAGAGCTCGCGCTGAGCAGAGCTATCAGTAAGGGACCATTGGAAAATTGCTTTTTTTTTTTTTTTCGAAAACACAACCAACTTAACCCTGCTGAGAAAGACGTGTCATATTATTACAATTATGCAGCGTTTTAACCGTCTAATGCTTAATTTATGTTTTAGACATGTTTGCAAAACTTGATATAACCCTCTGGTTTAAAGAGTTTGTCCACCTCTGTCGTAGCTTGAAAATATTCAGATTGAACGACTAAAGGCCGTATGATCTGTTTTGAGGATGTTTTTTGGTACCTTTCTTGACTTTAAACAAATCAGCAACCTTGCTGTCTATGGAGGATGAGGGAGCTCTCAGATTTCACCTGCAATATCTTAATTTGTCTTCTGTTGACGAATGAATCTGTAAAGAATTTGGGATGACATGAGGGTGAGTAAATAAAAAAAGAAAAATTGGGTGGAGTAACCGTTCAAGAAACTTAAGTTTGTTTGTTTGTTAATTAATGGAGACTGTAACCAACAATAAACACAAATGATCGCCGTTATTTGACAGATTCTTGATTGCTATCAGAAAGGAACTGGACTTGGTATGACTTGACGTAGCTGCTGTCCCAGATGTAGAGATGTTTGTCTCTGGGATTGTATGAAATCATGGACAGAACCCCTCCAGGAGCCCTGAGATCCAGACTGGCACTAACCGGCTTCTCCTTGAGGAGGTCGAAGGCATACGTCACCTTGGTGTCTTTGGTATCTGTGACGTAGAGGATCCCGCATGCGATAAACACACTGCCGGCTTTGGTTCTGGGGTAAGTGGTGTTGATGTAGGTGCTGACGGAGAAGGTTTTCTCGTCCAGTCGCGCGACCATGAGGCTGTCGTCAATGTTTGAGGCAAATACGATCCACATGCCGTTCTCATCCGCTGCCAGTTTGAAGTAGGTCTTTGAGTTTTGGAGTAAGTAGGACAGATTATGATAGAGGGCGTTCTCAATGCTCAGCACGTGTAAGATCTTCGTTTGAAGGTCAAACCTGGGAAAAGTGGAGAATAGAATATGTTACAGGAGGATTCAGGGTTCATACAGAAGTCATAATTTGGCAATGCCTAATGGTAATTCCTATCTTGCATTTTGCAGGGTTCCCACGCTTCAAGTACTTGAATTTCAGACAAATGAATTCAAGGCCTGGAAAGTACTTAAAAACAAACATAGGTCCTTGAAAGTGCTTGAATTTAAAGTTTATGGTGTTATTTCAACAATTATACTGTGGTGCTTTCAAAAAAAAAAAAAAAAAGAGAGAAAAACTCACAAAAAAAAACTTAATTAAAAAAGGAATTCTTAATTTAACCCTTTTGTGCACTGTTGAAATGTACTTCCCTTTTGATATGTTAGGGATGAAAACATCCACTGAATTAAATTTGCAGTAAAATTGCATCAGATAAATATATTTTTTCAGTCTGTTAATCAAACTCCATCCTGATCAAAACTACTTAATTGTTTAGAAAATGACAAGATTTTAACTCTTTGATTGCCAAATTCACAAATATTGTAACTAATTTGGTGAAAAAAAAAACACACACATACAAAATGATGTATTTTTAATATAAAAAAAAGTAATTGTGGACTGGATTTTTGGACTGGTCTTGGACATGTGAATGATTAGTAAGAACACTGTCTTTAGTGCATTGTTAGTTTTTTGTTTTTTTTCTCCCTAATTTACTGTTGGGGACTGTATTTGCCTCATTGACTTTCATTATAACCACATTTTATTGTGTATAAATACACAGACTTTGTTTTTGTTTACTCCATGTAGGTCTAAGAGCTAAGATGCATATTTTGATTTTCTCAGACACATCAAGGTAAGTAGGGCCGTGCACAGGGGAGTGGCCCCTGATCCTCTGAGAGTCTGTGCACGGGCGTGAAGGTAAGTGCATAATGGTCACTCTTACAGACACACTTTAATTTGCTGTTATACTCCATATAAAAACCAGAAACCAAGTTTTTTTGTTTGTTTTTTTTGCACAGGCCTATCAAAAGGGTTAATGATGATAAACTGATGATCAACAGTAAATATTACTAATTATTTATCTCCTCCTAACAATTAAAAATGCATGATTATATGGTGTCGTGGTGTGTCCATTTGTTTATAATGGAAGTCAATGGGGCAAAAACAGCCTTCAACAGTGAAAATTATGGGGAAAAAACGAAAAGAATCAAAAACAATGTATCAAATTCAATGTTGTTTTTACATGTCCAAGAGTGATAAAAGGAAAAAATAATCCAGTCCACAATTACTTTTTATATTGAAAATGCATCATTTTGTGTGTGTTTTTTTTACCAAATCAGTGACATCATTTGTGAATTTGACAATTAAAGAGTTAAAATCCTGTACATTTTCTAAGCAATTTAGTAGTTTTGATTAGGACTAACGTTGATTATCAGATTCATGGCAAAAATTATCTGATGCATTTTTACAGCAGTTTAGTGGATGTTTTTATCTCAAACATAACAAAAGGATAGTAAATTTGCCCAGTTTTTTTTTTTTTTTTTTTTTTTTTTATTCAAAGCATTTCAAAATATGTCAAAATTAGGTTTGTCAACCAAATATCATTCTGCTTACAGAAACACAGAAAAAGTTATGACCGAATTAAGACTCAAAATCACCCCAGAGTAGATGAAAACTTCCCCAACAGAACATAAGGGTTAAAACTCCTAAATTCAAATCGGATACATGACAAATAATGCGTTTATCAATACTTCAAAAACCACTGTTGAATTTTACCAGTATAATGAATTCAACTAGTTGGTTTAAAGTTCTTTGAACATGACTTTACCACAGTCAAGATTTTTAAAAATGACATTTAAACCATCATCGTGACATTTTCATGTAAATATTAAGTGTAAATGAAATGTATAGTCCTATAAGATCTTTTTTTAAAAAAATGTTTTTATTTTTTACGATTTTTGCATTTATTTGAACATTCTGGTCGTACAGTTCCTAGTTGTTTGAATATTTTTAGACTTCATAATCTAACAATTGCACAATTAACGTTAAATGAACAGCATTTATTTAATGTGTTATAATTTCAAGCTATCATTTCGTTTCACACACACAATGAAATAATATAGATATTAGTTCTGAAGTAACGTTTTTGAATTGGCAACCAAATTTCGCTCAGCTTTAACCATACTTGGCAATATTGGAAGTTCCAGCGATGTGGTAGAATATGGAGCCATTATGGACAGCATGTCCACAACCCTGGAAAAACCTCCGGACATCAATGGATTCACTGCTGCTGTTCTGGAAGGCTGCGATACTGTTGTACTCTTTTATTAAGCGACCTGAAAAAAAGAATATAGGAAGATAAAATTGAGAAAACTGTAAAATGATGAAAAAACTGTGTTCCAGGTACAGTATAATAATAAAAAAATACTACTACTACTACCACCACCAGTAATAATAATAATAATAATAACAACAACAACAACAGCATTTGATGTCAAATATCACAGAAAATTATTTTGAAATATTATATTTTAAGGAATAAAAACCTTTCTAAAATGTTAATAAAATGCATTAATTTGCATATATCTAGCAAATCAATATGAATATAGGATGAAGTCAAGTTCAAATCTTGTTTTTATTGATTTATTTTAATTCCCAAAATCAGAAAAATTCGGGACAGTATGAAAAAAGCTAATAAAAAAAGTGATTTCTAAATTTACCTTGAGTAGTATTTCATTGCAGACAGTACAATAGCGCATTATTTAAAGTGTTCCTCGAGATTTTTATTGGGTTTTTTGTTTGTTTGTTTGTTTGTTTTTGCCAAAATAAACATCCAATTTTGAATCATCCTAGAACTAAAAATCCAATTGTGGTTCTTACAACACGTTTCAAAAAAAGTTTAAACAGTAAAGCATTTACCACTTTATAATGTTGTCATTCTTTTTCACAACACTTAAAAGACTGAAGATACCAAGTGATGAAGTGTTTCAGGTTTAATTTTGTCCCATTCTTCCTTCAAGTCTTAAGATGGGCAACAATGCCACACATTCTTTACTAGAGACAGGTCGGGACTGCAGGCAGGCCAGTCAAGTACCTCTGTCAAGTACCTCCGTAGCTAGGACTTCGTAATGTGTGCTCCAAAATCTCTATGTACTTCTCAGCATTAATGGTGCCATTAAAGAAGTGCAAGTTACCTTTGCTAAGGAGACTGACACAACCCCATACCATGACAGACCCTCGCTTTTGGATTTGTTGCTGGTAACTGTCTGGATGATCCTTTTCTTCTTTGGTCTAATATACTGATTACACATTTCCTCCCAGAAATGTATACATTGTCATCCCAGATGCCTCCGAGCCCAGAGAAGTTGACTGTGCTTTTGGACACTGTTAACATAGGGTTTCCTTTTGGCAGAGTACAGTTTTAACTGGCATTTTTGGATGTAACTACGTCTTGTGGTACTTGACAAAGTAGTCCTGAGCCCATGTAGTGATATCGCTTATAGATGAATGACAATTCTTGATGCTTAGGGATCGGAGATCATGGTAGTTCAGCTTAGGCTTCCATCCTTGTCCTTTACGGACTGAAATTCCTCCACATCTCTTGAATCTTTTAATTATGTTCTACACTGCTGAAGGTGAAATATCCAAATGTCTCCCTATCTTCATTTGAGTAACTTTTTTTTAAATATATATTTCAATCATTTTCTCGCATATTCGTTGTGAACTGGCAATCCTCATGCCATCTTTGCTCATAACGAACTAGACATTTTTTGGATGCTGCTTATGTACCATATCATAATTACAATCATCTGGTGACATCACCTGTTCTAAATCAAATCATTTAACAAATGTACCTGATTAATAGCCCTAAACTTTTCTTGGGATATGTTGCATGTCTGAATGACAGGAAATAATGTACATTTACAAATTAAATGAAGTAGACCAGACAAAATGAAGTTAATAATATGGAAATAAAAAAACTATAGAAAGCCAATAAGGCCAAAAACTGTTTTATTTTTTCCTTGTAGTGACTTGACTTGGGAATGAAGCATTCTGCTTAGCATTAGCCATTCCATATGAGAGTAAATGTGCCCTTCCAGTTTTCAATACCTGAGAAATGTTCCGCTACCCAGATCTTCTCATCATCATGAGCTGCAGTGTCCATCATCCACGCTCCAAACGTGCTGCTCGTCTTCATCAGATGTCTGGGGTTCTGCACTGACTTTATAACACAGTCTAACCAAACACAAACACACTGTCAGAGATGCAGCTTATTAGGGGCTGTATGTAGTTATGAGGATAAGTGTAGGACATTTGGTACCATTTGTCTTCCACGATGCTAGCTTCTGGCTAAGGGTGTCGTCGTTTGGGACGGAGTTAAGGTGACCTAAAGATGAATAAATGGCTATATCAAAATATTACACGTTATGTTGCATATGGTGTAATATTATGCCTCTGTATTTATTTTAAAATTGTCTGCATGTGATCTCTTTACACCAGGTTTTAAACAGCAGTGCTATTAAAAATAAGAATGTAATTTATGTCATACGGTGCTGAGTTAAAAGCTTATTTGACTGACTGAATAAAGATATTCTGGAAGAAATAAGGACTTTTTATTTGTTATTTTTATCAACCGTTTAGTTAGGTCTAATTCAGGAATGAAGCAGCATGATAATATTAGCATAAATTTATTTGACCAGATTTAAATAAGGTTTGAAGAGGGAGGGAGATAGATTGAGCTGAATTTATTTATTTATTTTTTTCCCCCCCAAGAGTTTGCCCTTAGCTGATGATTGATTATGGAGTTTGTTTGGCATGCTGTCCTGGGAGAGAGCCCTGAACTTGAGAGAGCCTCAAGCTCCCCCCATTGCAGGGCAAGAGGGGAATCTGAGTTCAGGTAGGTCTCGAGAACTCCCCTGGTTGATGATGCTGGAAGTAGATTAATGCTATAAAGTGTCTATGCTGTCAATTTAGATGTCAATTTACTTATGTTACATGTTTTTGGTCTGTGGGAGGAAATCAGAGAGCCCAGTGAAAACCCACACTGCCCTGATAAGGAAATCAGAGGAGTAAGGGTGGAAAAGGGGATTCTTCAAGACGAAAATGGCTGAAGTAAGATACTCTGGTTATTTATAGTGGTTAAGGAGTCATCTGATTGGTAAATCAGTGTTAGCTAATGTGGACCAGGTGTTATCAATCATAAGCACGTGCTCCTCTCGAAATTAGTTAAAAAATAAACTTCACTTAGTTGTAAGCTGTTTCATTCCTATAATTTGTGGGTCAAATGCTGTTGGCTCTTGAATGTTTCTTTGTGTTTTTTACATGCTTTTACCAATATATAAAGTTGCACCTCAATGGTGTGAGCACACATTGATAAGTATGCTTCATAACATATCATAAAAAACGGTATCTTTCTGGACAAACTTGTTGCCCTTGCATTTTGGTTACTTGAATCATGTCAAAGTCCCTTTAAGGCTAGTCATTTTACTCTGCGGCCATCTTTAAAACGCCTCTTGGGCATTCTGTCTGAATGGGGAAACATCAAATTTGCAAAGCTTACAGTAACATTACATATTTGGAATCACTAATCAATTTAAACAACCATTGTTACAAACATTTTGTTTCTAATGTTCGAATCAAACTAAATCAACATTTCTTTTAGATTGGCCAAGCTACTGCGCATGTTCACTTAAAAGGAACGAGATGATGACCCAACCTAATTTATGGCCATTCTACACATTACTATCCTCTGTATAATGCTTCATCAGATTTTGATACTCTTCTGAAGTAATCCACAACTTGGTCTGAATGGCGAATCTCCTGCAGAAATGACAGTGACTGCTTGTTAACAAGTTTGTGAACGTTTGAGTAGTTGCTGTCATGTGAAGAACTGTACGTCGCAGTGGTTTCAAAGAGATTACAAAACCAAAAAAAGACTTTTGTTTTAAAGTGCACTTGGTTCATTTAAATGTACAGATCTTAAGCTTTATGTGGATATATTTCTTAAGTCTGTGAAGCAAGTATTCACTGATATTCCAATACATTTTTTGACCAAATGAACTGTCTTTAAAGTGCTTGTTTGTGCCGAGCTTCTCCTTGGAGAAACATCAGTCTATAGTGATCGATGATTGGCTCCCGTACTAGTAGGCGGGGCTTTAATCACCATATTGACCATTACACTTTTCCCCATTCAAAACTAAACGAGTGACATGTTTTGTGTATTCTAATGTTGTTCCAGTTTAAACAACTTAGTATTCATGTTGTCAGGTTTTTAAGACGCCATGATTTCATAAAACTAACTTATATAATATTTGTAGGAAAATAGTGGTTATATACTGTATATTGACGTGGTTACAAAGTTTCGTATAGTCAACAGAATATCTAAAGGGGACTAAATATATATATATATATATATATATTTTTTTTTTTTTTTTTTTTTATTACAGCTTAAAGAAATTCTGTATTGCAAGTATTTATAAAACTAATTGAGCCAAATACTACTTATAATTGTAATTTACAAATGCCATTACATTTAAATGTATATTTTTAATGAATCTAAATTTGATTATGAGATTTCTTTTTTTTAAATGACTTGGCATGATTTATCTCTTTCATTATTTTCAGACCCAGCTCACTCACCCACAGACTCCTTCCCGATAGGAAGATGTGCCCTGTGGCTCCTGTGTCTCGGTGGCCCCTGAGGCCCAGGAGGTCCTGGAGGACCAGGCGGACCTGGGGGGCCCGATGGTCCCATTGGTCCAGGGGGACCTGTGGATGAAAGCAGAAGCTCATCACATTTACATTGTTGCCATCAATGGATTTGCAAGATCTTTAGAAATGACAGAAATGTAAAAAAAATTACACAATTAATTATTATTATTTTTCAGGGTTCACCACAGCAGAAAAAAACAGTAACTATTCCCGCATATATTTTACGCAGAGGATGCCCTTTCAGCTGCAACACAGTACTGGGAAACACCTATACACTCTCACATTCACACAATCTAAAAACATACAAACTCTACAGAGGAATGCCAACTGGCCCAGCCGGGACTCAAACAATCAACCTTCTTGCTGTGAGGCGATCGTGCTAATCACTGAGCCACCATGCCAACTACAAAAGAATTTATGAAAAGATTCTCAGTTATGCAGGAGATGTGTTATAGAAGCAGCTTTTAGGTATTTAAGGCCTTTTGGCTGTGACTAAAGTCTAATAATTACCTTCTATGATAACATCATTTGAAGGTTCACCCTGTTCTCCAGGTGGTCCTGGTGGTCCAGGATATCCTGGCTCTCCTTTCTCTCCAGGCTCACCCTTCTCACCTGAAGGACCTGCCACAGGTACAGAAAAGCACAAAATCAATCATTCACAGCTCTTAGTGACATTAATTTGATTAATTTAGACATAAATAAAACAATAAGTTACTGTAAAGTGGGTCGCCTTTGCGCCATGCTGCACCACGATGTGCCATGCAGTGTCATGCATTTTAGAATTGTAAAATAAGATTTCAATCACAGTACACACAATAACACCACAAGTCAGCAGATGTTCGCGGCACCCAGCTACATCTTAGGACACTGTTTCATATTAAATAACATGCAAATGTACATGTCAGGTGAGCGTTACGTGCGCGGAGTGACGTAATGCTCTGCACAGCACATCAAGTGTGTGACCCCCTTAATAGTTAGGTTTAGGGTTGGTGTAGGTATAAACATTAATATAACAATAGGTTACAATAAGGATTAGGTTTAGGGTTAGTGTACAGTGTAGACATTAATGAAACTAAGTTACTGTATGGGTTAGGTTTAGGGTTGGGTAGGTGTAGACATTAATAAAATAATAGGTTACTGTTTATAAGTTTTAGGGTTGGGACTCTCACATGGTCGCCCACTGAAGCTAAGCAAAGCTGCGCCCGGACAGTACCTGGATGGGAGACTACATGGGAAAGCTAGGTTGTTGCCAGAAGTGGTGTTAGTGAGGCCAGCAGGGGGCACCCAACCTGTGGTCTGTGTGGGTCCTAATGCCCCAGGATAGTGACGGGGACTCTGCTCAGATACTGCTCAGTGAGCGCCGTTTTTTGGATGAGACGTTAAAACGAGGTCCTGACTCTCTGTGGTTTTGAAAAATCCCAGGTCCTTCAAAAAAAAGAGTAGGGGTTTCACCCCAGCATCCAGGCCTAATTTGCCCACTGGCCTCTGTCCATTATGGCCTCCTAACCCTCTCATATCATAATTGGCTTCATGACTCTGTCTCTGCTCCACCAATCAGCTGGTGTGTGGTCTGTCGCAAAATGGCTGCCATTGCGTCATCCAGGTGGATGCTGCACACTGGTGGTGGATAAGGAGACTCTCCCCTATTTGTAAAGTGCTTTGAGTGGCAAGAAAAATGCTATATATAATTTTAAGGAATTATTATTATTATTTTAAATAAAACAATAGGTTACTGTAAGGGTTAGCATTAGGGTTGGTGTAGGTGTAAACATTAATAAAACAACAAGTATAGACATTAATAAAACAACAAGTTACTGTAAGGGTTAGATTTAGGATTGAGGATGGTATAGACATTAATAAAACACAATAAATGTAATTTTAGGATTGGGGTAGGTGTACAGTGACTAAATCATTCAAAAGTTCCAGGAGGTTTACAAAGGCCATTTAAATCTCAAGTCACACCCATTTGGAGCTGACTTCTGCCTCTTATATCAAATTTCTCACCACATAAAAGCAAATGTATGCAGCCATTTGTATACTATTCAAAGATTTTTGAGTTATTCCTTCATCATGTTATGAAGAATTTCATTGAGTTCCTTGATAATTGATCTGCTAAATGATGCTTCAGGAATGTTCGTGGGCTCAGGACAGAGCAGTCAGTCAGCTGTAATCATGAATTCTACTTTATTCAGAAGCAGCTCTCAGATTTGCTCTGAATCCCGCTGGGGCTGAAGTAGGAAGAAAAATTCTCTCTCTTCCTTCAATGTTCAAGAAGAGGTTTGAAAGGGGGACATGTTCCTTTAAAGAGCTTTTTGACTGTACTCATTCATGTGTATGATGGCTGGATTTTCCACGTTCTGACCTCTTTTTCCTCGTTTTCCATGTGCTCCAGGCTCTCCTGGCAACCCTGGAATTCCATCTGTTCCATTATAGCCTGGCATTCCATCCACACCCGGTATACCTGCAATTTCATAAAGCGAAGTTGTTTAATTAAGTCACAATTTAAACACTTAACAACATTTATTTCAAATATTTCATACAATTAATCTTGTCATTTTTGTTTTAATTTTTCCAATATTTCCAATAATTCTATCTATCTATCTATCTATCTATCTATCTATCTATCTATCTATCTATCTATCTATCTATCTATCTATCTATCTATCTATCTATCTATCTATACAGTATACATTTGAATAATTGATTTCCTACCTGCAATTCCTGGTGGTCCTGGTGGTCCTGTGGAAGCCAAAAAATAAACCAAACAGTAAACTTGATTTTATAAGTATATTCTGAAAATAAATATGACAACCGATTCTGATACTCACCAGTCAGACAGACTCCTTTAGTACTGTTGCAAATATCCAGCAAAATTTTAACCTGAAAAAAAAATAATAATAAATTATTTATATATATATATATATATATATATATATATATATATATATATATATATATATATATATAGTTTTTTTTTCGTCATTAAATTATCTAAAATAATCCAGTAATGTAATATAACCAACCATGCATTCATTTGTTTACTGTAAAAAAATCCATTATTTTACTTTTTTTCTGGCAGATAGCGACCGTTAAATTGCAGGCATTTACCGTAAAATAACAGACAGTAAATGACTGTAATTTAACTGTCACAATCATCAGCGATCTATCCTTGCAGATTGCTGGTATTCATAGGGGTCACTATAAGGACTACAAATCCGCCGGTATATGGACTACAAGTTCCAGTCATGCACCACACACACTCACACCGGTTCCTGATATTGAATGATTGCAAACACACAGCCGGAGGATTGTCAAAAACTAATTACAAGGACTTTATATACAGTTCACACACTCACACATCTGGGCTGAGTCTTGTTATACTGTCACTGTAAACATTACAATGCGATTCCCTTGCCTTGCTTTGTAGTGTTTTTGACCCTTGCCTTGTTTAGTTTTTTACATTGTATGCTGCCTGCCTTTTGACCATGACTCTGGTATACATCTGTTTGCTCCTGTGTTGACTGTTGCTTGCCTGACCATTCTGTTTAATAAACCTGCGTTTGGATCCGCACTCCCTCGTCATCTTCCACTTCACATTACAGAAGACTCAGCAACGTGTGTGTGTGTGTGTTTGAGAGGTGTATAAGTACTCTGTGTAATTAGTCCTGAACAGCTTCAGCTGTGTCTGTTTGCAATCACGGGGATCAAGACCAGGTGTGTAAGTGGTGCATGACTGGATATGTAGTTCCTTGCAGATTTGTAGTTTTTAAGCGATCTGCATAGGCTAGATCGCTGGTGACTGTGACTGTGACATTAACGTCTGTTATTTTTCGGAACATGTCTGTAATTCAATGTCCCTTATTTTATGGACCACAGCTTTAGAAAAAAAAAAAAAAGTTTTTACAGAGTAGGCATAATGTATGACTTTAGCTTTATATTATGCATTAATTATGTATAAATCATCATAGAAACATTAAAAATTTCAATTAGTCATTAAATGTGTATTGTTCGAAATACAATTAAAAATGTTTATTGTTCTAAATACGCTAAAAATCCAAAATCAAATAAAAAGTGCTCCGGGGTAGATAATGTGTTGGTGCTCTTTGGGTAAGGGATTCATCAGAATAAACAGCAAAAGTCAGTTCAAGGCACTCGAAAAATGTGGAAAAAAAATATTAAAAAGCCGTTATTTAAATGGTTAATTCTTAAAACTGCTAGATTTAAGTAATAGCCATGTCAATAAAGGCTTTTTAATATTTTATCCACATTTTTCGAGTGGCTTGGCCTGACTTTTGCCATAAATAAATTCTTTCATTGAAAAAAAAGTCTTTAGAGGGTGTCATCTACAATTTATTCAAATTATTATAAAACATTTTTATTAAAATATATATATTAAAACAATTAAATATACAAATATAAAAATACTGTTTTAATCAGGGAGGAAAAATAAAATTACAATAATTTTTTTTACATTTGTATAATTACAATAACATGGCACATTTTTTAACTAATAACCAATAATAATATTTTTGTTAAAGAAATTCAGGCATAAAACAGTTGTGAACTATAAAAATTGGAGGGAAAAATGGCACATTAATCTATAAACTTACTATACTGTTTATAACTAAAGTTACTGGACAGGAGTTACTGTTGTCAACATTTTATTTACAATTTCCTTTAGGAAAAGAACACGCATCAATAGATCATTGATATCATAGAGTGAGTTTCTTACTGGCACCATGGAGTATGTCATCATCATCATCATTCCATCTTTTTCCTCGGTTTTGTGCTGGTAAACTGGTCCAGGCGGCTGCTGAAACGAGTACTGGAAATCACTCAGGACTTCCTCTCCAACGCTTCCCTCGTGCTCCTCAAAGGGCCGCGTCCCTCGGTGCTGCCGGCGTCGCTTGTTCCTTGAGTATTGATACTCTGCTTCATCTTCATTCACCTGCGTCATAAACTCTACCACGGAGCTCTGAGAGATCTCCACCATCTGCCTCTCCACCTCAATCAGCTGCGCCCACAAATCCCTCTGCTGTACCAGGAGTAGAACCAGGCCGGCACAGTTGATCACCGTCAATATACAAACGCTATACAGCATCCAGCGGAACTGCCAGGACATCCGGCCACCGCACTGCCTGAAGCCTCCGGTTCTTCTCAACTCAGCCAGTGGATCCAGCATTCTCAGAAATTCAAAAGTGTGTCCTGAAAACCACCAGAATAACAATACTTTTCAAAAATAAAGGCTGAAAAAAGAAGCGTCTAGAGTATTTCCCCAAAATAAAGATGAAAGAGGACAATCAGAGTCTGTCTGTGCGCAACTGAGGGCTGCTGGAGAAGAAACCCCCCGCTTGTGCAGTCACCTGATTTATATGCAGTAGAGTCCATTCTTCAGCATGACCGTGGGCTGACCAGCATAATCCACATCTACACCAGCAGCCAATGATGTGGAAGAACACCAGACATGCTGAGAGACACAGCAAGATTTTTGTAAACATTTCTCCAAAGCCAAGGGGTCTCTAAACGTCTAAATTTGGTAACACTTTACTTTAGGTCACAATTCATGCTATTAAATACTGATTTATTACCTACCTATTATTAAGATATTAACTGTTCATTAGCATTTGATCTTAATCTGCATCCCTTATCCTACCCAAAACCTGGTAACACTTATGTTGGTAACAGTTACCTGGTAACAGTTATGTAACAGTTCACTGTGTTAACAAACAATTAACTAACACTACTAGCTTAACAAACTACTAATTAGCTGTTTATTAATACTGTAGTTAGTAATATAGAAGTTAAGTTTCAGATTGTGGTAGGATTAGGGATGCAGAATAAGATCATACAACCCCAAATCTGAAAAACGTGTGGACAGTATGGAAACGCAAATAAAAAAAGAAAGTGATTTCTGAATTGACTTGCATTTTGTTGCAGACAAAACAACAAACATTATTTAATGTGTTCCTCATGATTTATTTTTTAAATTAACACGTATTCCAATTTTGGTTCTTGCAACACATTTCAAAAAAGTTGGAACAGTAAAACCACTTTGTAATGTCTTAGTAATGTCTTTGCAATGCTATTCCTTTTCACAACACTTAAAAGATATTTAGGGACTGAAGACACCAAGTGATGAAGTGTTTCAGGTGTAATTTTGTCCCATTCTTCCTGCAAACAAGTCTTAAGGTGGGCAACAGTGCAGGTTGTTGCATTTTGCGCTTCAAAATGTGCCGCACATTCTCAATTGGAAACAGGTCGGGACTGCAGGCAGGCCATAAAGGAAGTGTATTCTCTTCCTCTGCAGTCAGGACTTTGTAATGTTTGCAGAATGTGGTTTTGCATTTGTTTTGCATTGTCTTGTTGTGATATACATGAGCATCCCTGGATAAGAAGGCATAATATTGTGCTCTAAAATCTCTCTGGAATTTTCAGCCTTAATGGTGCCTTCACAGAAGTGTGGAATGAACCACCAATTACTCTGGCAAATCTTTTATGCAACAGATGTCCTTCCAATCACAATTTAGCACTGAGTGCACACTACGGCCAAGTCCCAATTCTATTTTTGTACCCCTTTCCCTTGAACCTTAAAACAGAGTGTGAAGGTAAAGGGCTTCAAAACGTACACCTAAGAAATGGGACACCAATACAGCATCTGCACACGTCATCATATGTAATCTCTTACTACATATGAGATTGATGATTATTATGTTATTCCAGTTGCGTTATTGTTTTAGTATTTATCTTTAAGAAATCACTGAAGGCATATACCATGTTATCATAAAGATATCATGTGTCAATGAGCTCGTAACTACTGTGCATTTACACGGTGGCCATAAACACACCAAAAACAACATTAACATTATACTAAACACTGTAAAAAGGTAATTCCCAGTCACCAGACTTTTCTGACAAAATAATCGAGGATCATCGAGTGGCAGATGTAAAAGTATGTTGTGGGAATGCTAAGGAGATATTATTATGCATTATAAATAGCAAAATTTAACGAACGCCATTATAAATATATTAAAACATGTGCTTGTTCGTTGTAAAAATTCCTAACAATGACAAAAAATACTACTTTGTGGATCTCTTTACTTCCGGGTGCATCGATCCTGCCATTGTGGCTGGTGTATTCTGGGAAATTTTCTTACCCCTTGGTTTCAAGTGTGGTCCTGAAAAATCTTTGTTATGTTCCTTTATTTAGAGTGTATGTAAACTTCTGGTTTTAACTGTAGATATAGATAATTGTAGAAATCACATTTTAAGACATTTTTTTTTGTAAATAGTAAAATAGTTTTAAAAAATTATATAAATTAAACTTATGCAATCTGCACTCAGGAATAAAAGTACAAAGACTGTCACGGTGGATGGGATACAAAAGCATACTATTTATGGAACCAGCTTTAGTATAATTTGTGTATGATAATAGACATGCACATAGCTTATTCAACAGTTTTTTAAAGGAATAATAATATATGCAGTCATGTACATGTTTTGACAGCTGATATGACAGCCTGATCTCACGAGAAAACGTAAGTATTTTAAGTTTTGGCAGTTTAGTGGCTAATTCGTACGAATTCGTACGAGTTCAGTCGTAAGAAATTGTACGATTTTAAAAAGGAGGCGTGGCACCTAACCCCACCCCTAAACCCAACCGTCATTGGGGGATACGCAAATCGTACTAAAATGTACGAATTAGATCGTACGAATTTGTACGAATTAGCCACTAAATGAAAAAGTTACGAATTGCCGTGAGATTGTGTTGGATATGATGGTGATTTGATGCTTCGCAAAATTTGCAGACACCTTTACTGATATCAAAATACTTTTTTGATAGATAATTAATTTAAACAGCCAGTTATTCCTTATGCTGATTAAGAAACGTGAATGGTCCTAGGCTACTATAATACAGAAAATTAGCTATATGTAAACTAAATAAATAAATACTCTCGCTATTGAAAGTGTAAAGCTTGCAGCTCACAACAAATGTGGAAAGTTATTGTGTATCATATTTAACAAACCGTTTACTACAATTTTTTTTTCTCAGATGGATAATTAAATATTATTCAGATGATGTCATTAAGCTGATGTGCCGTCAGCCAATCGTTGCATTGCTGATCATTATTTCGATGATCGATAGATCTGTCCTTCACAAAACACAACACACACAGCGATGTCAGATCAGTTCATCCAGACATTTTAATCTGATTCATGAACTTGTTTCAAAAAACAAATTAGCCAGAGATCATTTATCAAGATTAAAAGATCCAGGATCTGCCAAATCATCTTAAATCGTTAAGTGAGGTACAAAGAATGAACCCCTGGATGACAAGCCCTTCCTTTTCATGTATGTGTATCTGAAAAGTACAACATAAAGTAACATATGTCAGATTTGCTCAAATTTACACATCACCCTCTAGTGGATTTGTCTTCTGAAATGTGCACCAAAATATAGCCTGTATATATCTGTATACATCTAAACTAATGCATTTTAGTTTTTGTAAAAAAAATAAAATAAAAAAAAAAGTAGGCTTAGGCATGTATTGCTAATAAGTCTGTGTGTGTAGCCAAAATTTTAGAGGACACAATTTAAAAGCATAATTATATATGAACTAGTGTAACAGCAGACAAAACTACTGACAAGAGAATTTATTCGGCTCTAAGGTGATTTTGTGAACACGTCAGAGTAAGTAAATGTCAGCAGCTGAAAGAGCCGAGACCCTTAAGCGAATTCAGATTGGTTGTTGAGTTTAAGGCCTGGCATATAATTCTTATATTACCCATATCAATCAACATGACCCACTTATGTAGTTTTAATTCAGACTTTGATCTGATGATACTGATAGCACAGTACTCTTTTTGGAACAGTCTGCCCTTTTCTATGCTTACATAATAATGAAAAACTCAGCCTAAATGGAAATGGCAGGTACTGCCAGTACTGGCTGGACAATAATAATATTAAGAATTAATATATTCCTGTCATACACAATCACAGGATATGAAAATATGAGAATCCCCTCTAATACATGCTGGTAGTGTACATGCTGAATAAAGCAGTGAAGTCTGCTGTGTTTTGTGGTCTTCTGGCCTGCAGCTGTAGGTCATTGCTGAATAAAACAGACTCGCTGGGCTACAGGCTCCATGGTTGGGTTTGTGTGATCACGCAAGAACAAGGTATCAGGGTTGAGTAGTGTCTGTACTGTACTGAGCATGTACTTATCCCGGAGGTCATATCAGTTCAGTCAGGTTCCCTCATCTCTTTAAGTATATAGTGAGTTGAGTCCAGCTTCACTGATGAACATGGCGCCACCTTCCACAGGTCTAATTGGCTTTAACCTTAAACCTGTTTTACGCTCAGCTTCTTTTAAGGTCGGTTAGGTTCTTCTGCAATAGTGTTATAATTCACCTGAAACTGTTAAAAATAGTCAGCAGATTAGCAAAAATTATTTGAACAGTATAGGTGCTCTTGAACTTGTATATTGTTTCTTCAGTTAAAGATTGCTTGTATTACAATGACATTGATAACAGCACATACATTTTGTTACAAAACTAGAACCAATATAAAGCAGTCAGTTTGTGTTGTGTTAGTGTTATGATGAGGGCATAGCAACAGAGGTGAAGTTCCAATTGTAGTTTTATTGAGATGAATGGTCTAGCAGACAGGGATCAAAACAGCAGAAACAACATCAAAGGTACCTAGCAGGCACAGGACGTCAACATGACATCAAACTGATGTGGTACCCCAATGTCGTGGGGACGTTGCATTTTTTTGGAAATACAAATTGGGTTGACGTCAATGTCCAACATCCAATCTAAAATCAACCAAATATCAAAGTCTAATGATGTTACAGCTTGAGATTGTGTGGATATTATCACTATGACGTCTATCAGATGGTGGATTTTGGTTGCCCTACCTGACGAATAAATGTCAGTATTTGATGTCAACACAACTAAAATTACCCAAATATCAACGTCATCCACTGGGATAGAGCGCTGAGTGCACAGGTGGACAGGTGACCAGAATTTGAATCTTGATTGGCACAGAAAGGCACAAACAGTTTTTTGGATGTCAAACCCAAATTTTGAATGTCTGTAGTTGCTTCATTCTGGATTCGAACTGTCTGCATACCTGTCAGGAACACAGTAATTCACTTGATTTCTAAAGTCTGAAACTATGGAGATTTAAAGTATGGGCAACGCAGTGGCGCAGTAGGTAGTGCTGTCGCCTCACAGCAAGAAGGTCACTGGTTTGAGCCTTGACTGGGTCAGTTGGCTTTTCTGTGTGGAGTTTGCATGTTCTCCCTTCGTTTGTGTGGGTTTTCTCCGGGTGCTCTGGTTTTCCCCAAT